ACTCACTGATTATTTTCTGTTTTCTTTTTAAATTTTACATTATTATTATTTCAATTTTTGATTGAGCTGATAAATAAGACTGGTGTGCACATTTATTATGTATACAGCAAATCTCAACACATTATTCTGTATTTCGATTAACTCAGAAATCTTGGTATTGATTATTTCCTAAAGTTATAACTTGATTCGTTCACGCTTTTTATATTGATTATATGACAACTGTGGCTAATCAACCAATCACTACTCATCATTCTTGATATTAACCATATAATTATTTATCTGCACAAAACTCAGAAACTGAGCTATTTAGAATATTCACAAACGTAACATACGATGCAAAAGTAATGGAGTAAATGTCGGATTCTATTTCTCTTCGATAAAAAGGGGTGTTGAAAGAAAACTTTTTAACTAAAGGATAGAGCTTTTTCTCTTCTTTTGAATCATATATAATTTATTTTTATAACATACTCATAAACGAAATCATGTAACAGAAAAGATAAGTACCCTTAAAAAGAATCCGTACTTTTCGTGAGATTCAGAAAAACTGCACAAAATATCGTTTTCTATAACTCTTCGACAGACACGTTTTTCAACGAATATTTTTTACCAATTGGTAGAAAATTTTCTCCTCTTTCGAACAGTATATGATTTATATACGTAAATAAAATGAGACAAGAAAAAAAATAAGAAACATTTGCAAAATAAATTTATAATTTTTATATGAACTCATCACAAACATCTTGTTAGGCGTCAATGAATGTGATCTTTGTGGACACCATTAAAAAGATTTTGTCAAACAGTACTTACTTCGACTTTTATGAATTCGTTAAAAACATCTTATAAAACGACAGTTAGTTGTAATCAACTATTGTCTACAAGATATTTTTAACGAAATCATATAAAAGTTATAAATCTATTGCATAAGTCTTTCTCTTTTTTCTCATCTTGATTCACTTACTAATATGTGAAAAATATTAATCATACACTGTGCGAAAGAGAAGAAAATTTTCTATTAACTGATAAAAAAATATTCTTTTTAAAATCTATTCATCGAAGAAATATAACAATCAACATTTTGCTTGGCCTTTCTATCGAAAAAGTGTGGATTCTTTTTAAGTGTGCTTCTCTTTTCTGTTACATGATTTCGTTTATGAGTATGTTATAAAAATAAGTTATATATGATTCAAAGAGAAGAAGAAGCTCTATCTTTTAGTAAAAAAAAGTTTTCTTTCAACATCCATTTTTATCGAAGAAAAACAGGATTCGACATTTAGCTCATTATTTTTGCATCGTACGTTATTTCAGTCATTTCAATTACAAAGGAAGACTTTAGAATGTTCTAGAATAGCCTAACTACCCACTTAGCACTATTCTTTAATTGAGATTGAATGTTCTATTCAGTGTGTCGATTACTAGAATAGGAAAACTTTAACAGAATGTTAGAAGGATTTTAGACCCATTCTTACTTACTTACTACAATTGATAGAAATAATATTTGAAATTATGTAGTTGGTATAGTAACAAAAGGTATCACTGGATCAAAATTTGTGTATATACACAATCATAATTCTAGTTACTAGACGACACGACTTATGTTTTAAATGACATGAAACATTGATGAAATGTTTTGGATTCAATCAACTACATAGTAACCGTAATTTGTATCGAAATTTCGTTTGTGATTTATTTCAACTCTCAAAAGTCTGTTTGATCACTTCATTAGACTCTATCCCATTTGCAATTTTCAATAGTCTATGTTGTTCTCTTGAACATAAACTTGTCTCTAAAGAGATACTCTGATTGCATCTGATGAGTTTTTTACATCTATACTACTGACGTCATCTCTTACTGCAATGAATACAATTTCCGTTCATTACAAATAAACACAAGAGAAATATTCAATTTCGGCATGCGCTAGTCCCAGTTCAATTGTGTTTTGAGTCAGCTGGATATCCGTTCGTCCGGGTATCATTTCGATTGCAATCATTTTTTACCCTTAGATACTACATAGTGTTCTAATAACAAACCTAAAAGGATTTAGGTTTCCATGCAGATTTGACTAAGCTATTGAATTTTTAATATATCTATTTTCTAGCGACCTCAGATTTTCGGAAAACTTATATTTTCGAATTCTAATCTGAAAGTTTGTGCATATAAAGAACTCAACTAGAATAGCTTCTATACGAAAATTCAGAAGTTTTGAACAAAGTCTCTTCGAGATATGAGACTTTCAAAAGAATACATGTTACATCCGCTATCCATAGAAAAGGGTCTATACCAGAGATGGAAGAGCCGCGGTGTAGCACCGGCCCAACCCGCCGGCGGGGCGGTGATGGTGCATGACGAAATTTCGCGGTTTCCCCGCCTTTGTATAACCTTGTTTTTTTAAATATACTCAGACCTTTAGAGACATCTTTTAAAATTTTTTTCACACAAAACTAATCAGTAAAAAAAAGCTTGTTAGCGCGGCTACAAAGGAGCTAAAATGTGGAACTTACGTATATTTTTTAAATTTTTTATCCCGATGCCTAATTTTTAAATTGTAAAATATCTTTTTTTTTCGAATACGTACGAAATCATTGATATATTATATAAAAACTAGAACATTTTATACGCTGTTGCTGAGGTCTGTAATGGTAGGGTCAGAGTTGCCAGATCGAAAATTAAAAAACCAGAAAAACTTTTCTTAAAATCGGAAAAAAGTCGGAATTTTTGTTCTCGAAATCAGAAAAAAAATCAGAAAGTATTTTTCAATGCTTAAATAACTAGTCTGTATATTTTCAATAGCTTCAATATCCTTTATCTTGCTTCTGTTCATCTTTTCGAAACAATATCGGAAATGATATTTCATAGAGAATTAAAGAAAATATCGATTACACAATGTACTCATGATTAAGAAATCTACATATGTCATTTGAACAGGATCACATTATTTTTTTCAAAAATGCTATAACCAACTTGACGAAACAATAGAATCAGCATTGCAAATTCATACACACACATGCATTTCAGAAAACTTGTGCAAAAGAAACTAAGACTTATTCTGTATAACGTTCGTTTTTGTTCATACTCTTTTATTAGCTCGAATATTCTTCAAAATATTAGGTTGAGGTAACAGATATTTACAAAAATATCTACAAGGATAAACAGAGCTCATTCTGATTTTCAATTGTGCAACAGCTAATTTAGTACTCATACGATTATGATTAGTTTTATTATATCTGCGATGAAACAAAAAAAAGCTCAAAAATGAAAATATTCTTAATTATCAGTATAGTAAACGAACAGAGAAAGTTAATTCATCGTGATAGAAAACTGGATCTCTATTGACTGTAAAACATCATCATTTTATTGAAGGATATGCTTTCAGATCACTGAAGTGTGTTTTGTTGAGTTCATAACGCTGCATTACCCGATAATTATGGTGAAATAGATCGCAATATATATGTGGTACCTCGTCATGGTTAAATTATTCTGGAATATTCTAAGAACTTGAATTCACAAACAAGACTCCGAAAATTGGAGAAAAATTAGGAAATTTGAAGGCGATCGGAAAAATATGTTAAAATCGGAAAAAATTGGAACGTCGGAAAGTCGTCAGGAAAAGTTTCAAAAATCAGAATTTTTCCTGCCGTATCAGAAGATCTGGCAACCCTGGGCGGGGTGTCTGTAATGTTCTCTTTCTGGTTGCCATGTGTCTATAATGGGGTGGGAAGGGGGGAGGGGAAGAGCCGCCAAACCTCGAACTTAAAACTTACAATCACTATTTTCTTCGAAAATATACGTGAGTTCCACGAAATGAGTGGTTGTATTATAATTGCTTTTCATTTTCATATGTTTATTTTTTTCTATTTCGAAATGATGTTTATGCATTTAAAATATGTTTTTTCATCTCATGAAATGAAATAGTCATTATAAAAATTTAATGAAAAATTTGTCGAGAAATAATTTTTGAAAACATGTTCTGGACAGGGCGGGGCGGAACGATGATGGTTTCAATGCTGAACAGGCGGGACAGTGACGGTGCGGAACTTTATCAATGGGGCGGTGACGGTGCGACTTTTTTGCTGACTCGTCCATCTCTGGTCTATACTGTGAAATTTATATATCTCGAAGCAACTTGGAAACTCAAATCCTTTCAGAGTTTTTATTAGAACATTCTATTTTAGATTAAGTTTTAAAGTAAGAAAGAAAATGCACAAATATACTTTGTTTTTTTTCACATTGACCTTGAACTAAATAACAGTATAATATTAAAAGAACGATATCAGAGGTCACTAAGTTCCGACAATTATCATAGATGACGCTGGAATTAATTTTATATTTCCAAACATGGACATGTTTTGTTTTTTGTGGTTTGAAAAATTTCAATTTATATTGAAAAAAATTCATAATTCTTATCAAGATTATTTCTATTGATAAGATAGTGGAGTCCCACTTTTACCTTTTACAACATCCAACCGTTTATTTTCTTTTTCTGGTGGATATCTTGGTTCCCTGTGATAGTAAAAAAACAAGCTCACATAGAGATCATAGTACTTTTAAGTGGTGTTGTACTTGTAACAATTTTTAATATTGTTTTATCGAGATCTATTGTATCTAGTGATCCATTTTTTGGTCAACCAGAACAAATTCATCTATCTTATGGACGTTAGTTAAAGTTCTATACACATAGACAAATTGTTTATTTTTTTTTCTCTTAATAATTTAGTCGATCCAACACTTATGATTGTTACATGGGTAACATTAAATGAAGTTAATGATTTCATTGTTGAATATGGTCAATTTGATATGTTTAATAAACGAGAAATTGGTTCTATAAGTATTTTTCAAGATAGTGGTTCAGAAAAACGACATGAATATATACACCGTGTTATTCTATAGGATTTAATACCTAGTCAAAAATATTGTATGAAATAAAAATTAAATTACGAAATTGAATAAATTTTTATTTTCGTTTATCATTGTGGTAGTAATGAATACGATTGATCACCTTTATTATGGTTTATAGCTGTGCTTATATTCCATATATAACTTGTTCAGGAAATCATGAAAATGCTTAGTAAATTATTTTCTTGTTTATCTAATTCATATTGAATCTTTATTTTTTTTTTTGTAGTAAGTTTTCTCAATATGTCACAAAATTTAGTATGACATCGTCACATATAATACATATGGTAGTGATGCTAATCATTTTTACAGGTAATAGTTTCTTTTTTTTTTGTTGTGTATGTGTTAGAGTAATTTTGAATAGGGTTTCATTTATTGTTAATTGGTTTTAATGTTGGTTCTGTACATATAATTGGTTTTTCAACTGTATTTTATTATTATATATCTTCATCTCCTCTTTTCAACGGTGAAAACCGCAGTTCTCTATCAAAAGTTATTCAAAAAATACTTACTTACCTTTTGTTTTTTTGAAATGGCCAGTAGGAACTGAGACCGATGTTTATCTATATAAATCTACAGAAGAAAAGGGAAAATGATTTAACGAAATTTTTGTTATAAAAGTTTTGTCTTTCGATTGAAAAACTCGAATATAGAAAAATAAAGTGTATGTTTTTCCGTATTTTTTTGATAGATTCGTCTTGGTCTTCTATTTATTCAAATATATGGTGTAGAAAAATTATTTGCACAATATAGTGTTGATGTAGAGTTATGAATATTTATGGCCAGTTTACAGTCAAACTGTATGAATCGAAAAAAAAAGAAGTTTTCTCTTGAATCTACAAATATTTATATAGGTTTATAATGGTACATTTGATGCTTATATCGATCCGGATGCTTCAGTACATATTATAATTGGATCAGCGGTAATTAAGAAAAAACTAGATATTAGATTTTAAATGAAGATATATTTATTTCATAGGGTTGTAATGAACATCATGATCCATTTGGTATTCCTTGGCAATGGACAGTATTTCAAAATAATGATTATGGTTACACACGAATGAATGTATATAATTCTTCACATTTATATTTAGAAACAAGTATCTCATGATCAGGTTAATTAAATAGTTTTTATATTTCATAACAAAAAAAAAACAAATTCCTTTTTTCTTTTATATGTTTAGGGTGGAAAAGTAATTGATAGTATGCGGTTAATTAAATCTAAACATGGTCCATATTCATATCTTTTTTTAAAATTTTAATTCAGTTCATTTAATGAATGTCTTTCAATTAAATATATATATATATATATATTTATTGTTTTTAGATATCATTCATTTTAACATCATAAAATGACAAAAAAACGCCGTAATAATGGTCGTAGTAAACATGGACGTGGTCGTGTTCGTTCAGTTAATTGTACGAATTGTCGACGTTTAGTACCAAAAGATAAGGCTATTAAAAAAGTCATTATTCGAAATATTGTTGAACAAGCTGCTGTTAAGGATATTAGTGAAGCTAGTGTGTATCCAAGATATATTCTACCAAAACTTTATTATAAATTACATTATTGTGTATCATGTGCTATACATAGTAAGGTTGTTCGTAATCGATCAAGAGAAGCACGACGAATTCGTACACCACTTTTGTAAGAAAAAATTTGAATTGAGAAAAAAAAGAAAAAGAATTAATCGGCGTTTTTTTTTCCAGACGACCACAACAAGCTCGTCAACCGGGTGCAGCCGGTGGACAAGCATCAGCAGGTGCAGCTGGTCATCGTGGACCAGGTAAAGAACCTTTGCAACCAGCTGTTATACCTGTTGCTAAAAGTATGTTTTGTGTTTGCTTTTGTTTATTGATTTAAGAATTTGTTTTTTTAGCATAAACATTTAGCTATGTGCTCAACGGCATATCATCAAGAAAATTCTAACAATCCTTGGATTAATTCAATGAATATGATTGCCGTTGTTGTTTTTGTTTCGATAATAAAAATAAAAAGATGAATTATTTAAACGATTTGAAATTTTTTAGAACAATCAAATCATTTGAATTTATAAATTTGCTCTTTAATTGATCATAAATTTAGAATGTGTATTGAATGATTTAATTTATAGACATCTGTAGTAATTTTGTCTGAAACTTTATATGAATATCTTGTACCATCATCAGGAGAACGAATAGCAGTAATTTACAGCATCCCTTCAAAAGGTGACTTTCTATTTCGTGCTAGGTTTTTTTAATAAACTTACTTAGAAAACTAAGAATTTTTGGAAAACTTTACTAACAGTTAAGACGTTTTTAGCAAATATGTGTCGGATAATCAGAATTTTTGCTGAGAAAAATACATTTCTACTTCCGCTGGATTTCTGAAAAAGCTTTTTTGGACAACCCATGATCTTTTATGCTGGAGGAGATGGCTTAGTAACGTAAACAGACGGGACTTAGCCTCCTAATCAGGGGTCGAATACTGCTTAAACAGGAGCTTGAGATCCTTCTAAAGCCGTTACCAGAGGGTCTCCGCCTCCTCGACAGACATGTTCAAGGATCTAAGCCTCTCTCTACAACTTTTGCCCGGTTACTTTATTAGAATAAATGTTCTCAATAGTGAAGATTGGCTTGTCTTCATGGACACAGTTCATACTTATTTTACATTTGATTAAAAATAGTGTCATATATGCATAATCGTTGAAGTTTTCTCTTTCAAAAGAATAAAACAACTACTCATCATTACCATTTAAGGTAGTTTCCATAATAATAATGTTCTAATGAAATACAAACAAAACATTAAATTTTTTTTAAAGAATTTTCTACGAGAAAAAAAAGAGAAAATTTCACTGGCATTTTTGAAGATCCTATTTCATTTTATCTTATTCCAAAGGTTCATGAGAATCCAACGTTGTCTTAATGACATTCACCATTTGAAGAGAAGACATCTATCATCATTAAAATACAAGTGATTTTTATAAAGATCCATGTGCGTCAAACCGGACAAAAACTACTGATAGACTGTTCGAATTAATATGCGCTATACCGGCAACATGGAGATGGTCAACTAATTTTTACACTCTAATAATGATGTAAGACTTTGAATGTCACAAAAATAAATCCACTGATCATTTTCTATAATACTATTTTGTACTTAATAGTAATTCAATTTCTTGTGTCTGACGTCTTCTTTAAGTATTAAACTATAAAACACATCATCGTCAATATTGAATCAAGAATTTTATTTTCAACGATATACACTATTTTGGATTTCTATTATAATAATGAAAACGGAACTATTCTGAAAATAATAGAAGAAAATTTGAAAAAATTTTTTAATGAGATTTGAGGCTATCTTTAAGATATAATTACTTTTATCTTTTGTTCATATTTTATAATTAATCAAAAAAAAAAAAAACTTCTAATTTCCTCACATTCTAAAAAAAGAATTCTTGCCTTAGATTAGCATCATTAAAATTTCTATTCAACTCTTTCAAAAGTAGATGAAAAGCATGCAAAACTGATATCTAATAAAATATCGGTAACTACGCATAACCATTAATTCGAAATGGCTTCTTCGAATCAAATACATCTATACGAGTAATCATCATAAATAAATTATTTTCTTTTTCTCGTTCTTTTTTTTTTTTTAAATTCATTTGTTTCTTTCTTCAAATATGACTGTAGGTGGCAAGATGTAAAATTGACAATCGTTGTATTCGAAAAAAATTCAAATTTCACCATTAGAATTGCATACAGTAAAGAATAAAATAAAATTTATGCAAAAAAAAGTAAAGTGCACTGTAGTGATCCAAATACAAAAGAAAAAAAAGAGACCGAAATTTTATATTTTTTTTCTTTGTTAATGTTTTTTGTTTGAGCTGAATAATGAAAACTTATGTGTGTTAATAAATAATCCTTTGCCATAAATTTCTTTTCAGAATAGAAAAGTACTGAGCTTCGTATAATGTGTTTCTTATTTTGTTCTTTTCTTTTTCCTTTTTTGTTCTATAATCTTACTTCTTTTTCTCTTTTTTTGAAAGTATTCATGCTACATTACATTTATTCATCTGAAAAAGATAGTAAGAAGAAAACTAAATATGATAATTTTTTTTGATTGGTCAGCATCTACTTTTCACATGAAAACACGATCTATTTCCTGAGAAAAAAAAATTATCATTAAGAAAAATCTTTAATTCTGTGCAAAGAAAGGGTTTTATAATAAATCAGTTAGAAAAGGCATATTTAAAGACATAGATGCATTTGTCAAGAACAAAGAAAACTAACTATTGTCATTTATTCTTTATTGATTCCATCAATCAAAAACAAAACCATATGGTAATTTCCTGGATAGACATAGTTATAGAAAAACGAGACTGTAAAGAATAATAATATATTAATTTGATTTTTCTTTTAGTAAATATTTCATTAAATAATTTTATATGTTAGAAATGCGAAGATCTTATCCTTCAAGTGGATATACTATTTTATTTTTAATATTACTTATTATAGCTATTTTTATTACAATTTATGATATAAAATTTTCAAAAATAATTAGTAAATTTCAAAAAACGGTAATTAATACAAAAGATCAAATAAATATTTCTTCAAATAATTATATACATGTAAAATTATCTTTAAAATCAAATAAAGCAATATGTCAATTTAATGATAATTTAATTATTTATATTTTATCAACAGTAACTAATTTTAAACGAAGAAAAATTATACGTTCAACATGGGCAACACCATTAACTGGAACTTGTTTTGTATTTATTGTGGGTCAAACAAAAAATTCAAATGAAATTCAATTAATTCTTAATAATGAACAACGACAATATAATGATATTGTTCAAATTGATCATATAGAATCATATCCAAATGTTATTTATAAAGAATTAGCTGCATTAAAATGGTCATTTCATTTTTATCCATTTATTCCATATTTATTTAAAACTGATGATGATTTAATTCTTGATTCAATATTAATATCATCTATAGCAAAAATACTTGTAACAAATTTAGTAAATGATACATCATATATTTCAAAATATCATCCAAAACTTACACAAAATCTTTTATTATCTGATAGATCAACATTTTTTCGTGGTGGTTGGTCAATGGATAATCAACCAACAGTACGTGAAGGAAAATTTCATATTAGTGAATATATTTGGCCATATTCAGTTCTTCCATTATATTGTTCGGGTTTTGGTTGGTTTATGTCAAAACAAATACGAAATAAATTACTTGATGCATCATTTAAATATCCAGTAAATAAAACAGTATGGGTAGGTGATGTGTTTCTATCCGGATTTTTAGCTCAATTAGCACATGTTAAATGTACACATATTTCACTTGATTATGAACAAACACTCTCAGGAAATTGTTCATGTTTAATGATTCAACAACCAATGTTAACTGTATGTTCATCATCATTTCATGGTGGAGGTTTACATGATGAAAAAGAAAAATATCAAGAATATGAAAAAGCTTGGAAAGTTATACAACAACGTCATAATTTAATTAATAGGACGATTACTGATATTACAGATTGTTAATAGAGATTGTTTTTTTGTTGAGTGTGTTGTTATTATTAATTACTTTTTTCTTTTTTTGATATTCATTTATTGTTAATTTATTTTAATAGTAGAAAAAGATTTTGCTCTATAAATTTATCATCGAAACATTATAAATCAGAATCAGTGCTTTTGACACTGTTCAGATGAAAAAAAAGCTGTTAACACAATTCCTATGGGATTAAAATGTCAAACATAATGCAGGTGCTGTTGCTAATCACAGCAAGATTATTTTATTCCATCTATTTTGAGATACATCTCTTCATCATCCTTAGGCTTAATCCTCTAGAAATATGATAAGAAAGTAGTTCATTGAATATAGCGAGATATTATTGACATACGGTCGTTGATTGTATATCAATAACATCTGTCACGATCTACGCCGTGGGAGAAGTGTTGCTAAGGAATCTGTCATAGTTAGTGAGGAAGAAGAGACATTGCTAGGGATGTCTCTGCTGTGTCATTGCCAAGGTATCTATCATGATCTGTGGAAGGTTGGGAAGGAAAGGACATGTGCTAATCTCTACCCTATATATTTTAACCGTCTTTTTAGATCATGTTCCACAGGAAAACAAAAACAGAAGATTATGAAATTAATTTTTTTCTTTCTTGATTATCATTTCAATTAGTTGAAATTTAAATACGAGATAATTGTAGATAAAATCCTCGAGAGATTCTCAGATGATTTTAAAAATCCGTCATTCTTACATATAACAAGAGTAAAGTTTGACGTCGATAACGTTCACGATGAGAAAAAAAGGAAATCTTAACAACATGATTACGTTCCCATTTTCCTACGAGAGAACTATTCTAATTGTAAGCTGCTGTTTGAGTCCATATTGGGCGTATAAGAAGATCTCGGTAAGATTAGAATATATCTAAAAGGGTTCGTCTCTATAGTCCTTGGAAGCAGAGTTATGGCTTTTTTACTGACTTTTCGGAACGCATTCGTAGGTATTTTCTTGAAAGCCAAATAATGAAACTTTGAACTCAAGTTTTACCGATAGATAATAGATCGAATGATCCTTAGAATGGCCTGAAAAAATGTTCCTTTTCGAAATATTGAATTTTTCAAGTGAATTCAATTTTTGTGATGTGTCTGTAGCAAACAACTATTTTTCGGAAATCCAATATCTCAAAAAGAAATATTCTTTTAGGTTGAAACTTTCACGGTATTCTAAGGGTCATTAGACTTAAAATTTAGTACAATGGCCATAGCTCAGCACTAAAGATTCATGGGGACGAAACCTTTGAAACTTCTTCTATTCTTACCGAGATCTTCTTATGAGCTCAAATGGCCAATTACAGTTGGGATAGTTTCCTCGTTAGTTAATATTTTAAAACTGAAGTCATTTTTAAAAATAGAAAGAAAAATATATTAGATTACTCATATTCATAGATTTTATTGTCATAATGATTCATTATTAATTTAAATTGTATTAATATTCTATCGATTATTTGTTGATATAAAGATATATTAAAATTCTGGTATTCTTGGTTAGTGTTGTTTTTCAATTATTCGATATTGCCGTTCTCATAATTCGAATAGCTAAGCATCGAGCAATGTTTGCAGCAATATGATCAAGAAAAAAAATATATTGAACAACATTCAAAAATACACACATCCTTGGTTCAAACTCCGAGTCATTTCAAAGATAATTACAATTCGAATGAATTTTGCGCAACTGTCACGAATCAAGTTCCTGTACTACTAGTACATACAAGAACAAACATAAGAAGATCTTCTGTTTCAAGATATATTTACCAAAGTGATGCTAAGATTCAAATTAGTCTCACAATTATTATTTCGTATTTTATTAAACTTCTTTATCATATTATAAGTTGTAGTTATTTAGTAATAGAATAAAGATGCACCAACTTCACTTTACTTAGAACTGGTTAGGAATTGTTTGTTCTAGAATTTCTAATTTTGCACATATTCACATAAATTAAATAATTCAATTCTAATTAAGCATGAAAGTAGCTGCGCTTGAGTATATGTTAGAAACTCAATGAAGAGAGAAAGAAAAAAGTTTTCTCATCAGTAGAGATGAATAAAACCCAAACATTTACTTTCATATTGAATTAATTGTTTGTCAGAAGTTAATTAATGTTATTATATATTCTTTCACAACGTGTGATGAAGGTTGATAAATTCATAGTTTATAGTAATTCTCTTCCTTGAATGATGATGTTTTATTTATTTATTATTGACGTTTCGGTACATGAAGGTGATCTTCGTCAGAAATAGCAATGATTAAAGTTTATATAAAATTTTCAAAATATTCTCTTTTTTTTTCTCTTTATATATACGTCTATATTGTTGTTTGCTTTCGTTCTTCTGCTTTGAATAACATATATTATATATATAATAGTGGTACGGACTAAGATGAAAGGCTAGCCTTTCTTTGCCAGTATTACCGTCTTGTCCGTGCCACTATTATATATATTATATATGTTATTCAAAGCAGAAGAACAAAAGCAAACAACAATATAGACGTATATATAAAGAGAAAGAAAAAAAGAGAATATTTTGAAAATTTTATATAAACTTTAACCATTCCTATTTCTGACGAAGATCACCTTCATGTACCAAAACGTCAATAATAAATAAATAAAACATCATCATTCAAGGAAGAGAATTACTATAAACTATAAATTATTATATATTCTCTCTAAATGAAAATTTTCATGTTTCATCTCTGTTGATGATGAGTGTACATAATAACAAGTCAAAACCTTTCGATTTATTGTAAAACTAAAATTTCTATTACACTTTTTTCTTTCTTTTCATTATCGAGGTCCAAGTTTTTTTTTCCAAAGACCAATTTTAAAACAAGAAATCCGAACTTGGAATTAAACGCATCCATTGTATTAAATCGTTATATAAATCTAGGAAAGTTTCAAAAAAGTAAACTCTTATTTTATACAAGGCATGATGAATTATAAAATCATTTTATTATTTTTGACACATCTTATAATATATTTTAGTTTATACAACTAGAATATTTCTCTTCAATCAAACCGTACATGTATACGTTATGGTAAAAACAAAGAATAATTTATATCATTTTTTATGATTCCAATAGCATTCAATTCTTATCAAATACATCAAATAGATTAGACCATGCTAGCAAAAATTTAAATTAATATTTAATAAAAATATGAATATTCTTTCTCTCTCTTTTTTATTTAAATAATCTCCAAGATTACATAGACGAATGTGTATGACACATGCTTTTTTTCTCTTTTTCGTTCTTCTTACTTTTAAATTCAATTTTGATTACTTTCATCCGTTACTTTTTTTTTGTTCGATCAACCTTCATGTCTATCAACGAGTTGTTTTTTTATAAGAAACTATAATACATGTCTTTAACAATACATCGTCGTTTTGTTTTAAATTATTCTCTTAATTTTTTATCAGCTATTTTATTAATTTATGTATCAAAATGGCTTTTTCGTCAATATCCTATTTCAAGTTTAACATTAACTATAATTAATTGTTTTCTTTCGGGATTATTTGCATCGATTATTTTACAATTTCTACCAAAAATTTCAATAAAAAATATTCAAACATCAACAAATCGATTGAAATCATTATTTCATTTATTTCTTATTTCAATATCATTTTCAGCATTTATAACATTTAGTAATTTATCATTACAATATAATACTATAGGTACATATCAATTAATTAAATTACAAGTTCCACCAACTTTAATGTTTATTGAATGGATACAATTAAAATTAAAACTAAATTCTTCAATATTAACTAAAGAAAAATTTTCTCAAGATTATTCTTTATCAATTTTATTAACTTTTGGAATTATTGTATTGGAACTTTAGTTAATACATATTCAGATCTTTATTTTCATCCATTAGGCGTTATTTATGCTTGTTTGAGTGTTATATGTAATGCATTATATCAAACTATGGTACAAAATGATAAAGCATCATCAATATATGAACGTACATATTTTCTACAAAATCAAACAATAATATCAACTTTTATATTAGTTCCTTGTTGGTTATTTAGTGATTCATCATTTCAATTTAATCGGTACGTTTTATTTCGGTGGAATATAATTATTTTATTAGTTTTATGTGGTTTAGTTGCATTTATTGTTAATTCAAGTGTTATACGGTGTATAAAAGATGATGCTGCTATTGGATATAATATGGTTGGACAATTAAAAACTTTATTAATTGTATTTGTTGGATCAACATTATTTGGTGAATCATTAACAATAAAACAAATCATTAGTGTTTTATTTACAACATTAGGTTGTGCAATTTATGTTTATATTACATATAGAACTAAAGAATGTCAAAAACATCAACAACAACAACAACTGTTAGTTAATAATATTTAATAAATATTTAAAAGAAGAAAATGTCCGTTTTGTTTGTTGTTTCTGAATGATATATAGAGTATAAAAAGTTGTATATGACTATTACATTCTTATGTACATAGTCGAATATTAAAATTCGATTTACTATATGTGACAAACAAGTCAAATAAAAACGAAGACTCGTTTGGTACTTAATTCATAACAATTTTGTTTATTTTTAAACATGCTCAACAAAAATAATTTTCAAAGACATATTGAAAAAAAAGCTGTTAGCGCAATCCCTTGCAGGATTAAAAATGTGAAACACGATGTACTTGCTGTTGCCAATCTTATAAAAATTGTTCTTTTTTATGCATATTAGTGTACATTTCTTCATCGTGGCTTACTCTCATTATAGAGTTGAAACAGGATAATACTCCATATATGCTCTAATCATGTGTTAGTTATGTATTATCTCCGATAGTTCCTTGAACTCTTCTTTCACAGTCTATGATGACCCCTGGAGCTTGTCTGTCACAGTCTGTGATGGATCCAAAACTCTGTCTGTTACGGTCTGTGATGAATCCAAAACCCTGCCTGTCACGGCCTGTGATAGCCATTGCTAAGAACGCCTGTCACGTCTGTGAGGAGGAGGAGGGGGGGGGGGGGAGTGGGTGCAAATTTCTACTCCTATACACTTCAACACTCCTTTTAGACCGTGTTTCACAAAAATGGCGTGTTCTCACGATAATATGAAATAGACGAATTCATGATTGATTGATATAGAGATTTGGGATTATTGATAATGGACGTTCAGGAAAAGGGATGGTCAACAGAAACCGAACATTTTCTCACATTGGAAGGCGAAAGGTCAGACGCATCTGTATGTCTGGATACTTAGTACGACATTTTAGCCTTTTGTTAAGCATTTTTCGCGAAATTTTCAAAGTAATTTTGAGCATCATTTTCCAAAAGACAACTGCTCATTAACTCGCCCACAATAGAAGACCCTCTTGAAGAAACGATGCGCCGGATGTAATAGAAGTTCTCCCTAATCAATGAATTTCTAAAAAAAATTAGAACATTAATTAGTATATTTACGTCAAAATATGAATAGTTTTCACGGTTTTGAGCTGAAAATCTGAAAAGATTCAGCTCAACGTTATTTTGGGCATTCAAAACCTGGAAAATATTTTCCCAAACTCTCAAAATTGTTTTAGTTTTCTGAAAAACTTTTTTAATTAAAAATGATGGAAATAAATGAGATACCATAGAAAACGCAGGGTCTTCTAATTTTGCAGAAGAGAAGATTAAAAGATGTACTAGTCTTTTGATAGACAAGCCATGTCATCAAAATCGCCACAAAATCGACGATTTTATCGCTATTTATTAGTCCGATAATTGTGAGATTAATCTCGATTAATCGACTGAAGCGGCGATTTTTTTTCTGACCCCCGCAACAAAAACACAATAAATGGAAAAACCAAACTATTTTGATGAAATAAGTCAATCATGTATAGACTACCTGGGTCAACAGCCAAATAAAAATCGACGATTATATCGCGATAAATCGTAAAAATTGGCGATTTTCCAAAAACCGCGATTAATCATCAAAAGTGCGACGACTTCGACGACATGGGAAGCTTATAAGAGTAGCCTCTTTATGGGAAAATGCCGAACTTACATATCTTTTATTCAACTTTATTATACTAATACAAAATACGTTAAGTAAAAAATCTCTAACGGATGATAGTCTCTTTCTAAGAATATAATCGACCATCAGAAAAACGATCTATGTTATTTTTTTCTGCATTCCAAACGGAAACTTTTTTTAAAAATTTTTACTTATGCTCTAGTTTTTATTTGTCCTGTTCCTATTTGCTCGTTATTTAATTTTTGTTTTTCTTAAACTACAATTATCATTATTATTCTAATTATCTATTCTACATGCCTATCTATAATATTTGGAATAGTTCTCAACGTGCTATTATGTTTCTTGAAAATCTCAATAGCACTAGTATTAATTTCTTTCGGAAGTTACAACTTGATTTCAGTATTAATCATTTGATGAGTGAGCAAATCAAAGCATCACTAATCATCATATTCGACACTGTCAGCGGTAGCAAAATCATTGAAGAGTTCCGTCACTACCATGTTATGAGCCGGGTTGCTAGAAGAAGGAAGAAAGTGGAAAAAACCTTCTCTTATAACTTACAATCACTATTTCTTTTTGTCAAATATGTGAGTTCTACAAAAAAGAAACGGTGTATGTGATCAAACAGGCTCTTCCAAAAAAAATTTGGAAACTGGACGTCCATGAGGAAAGAGAGTCAGCCAAAGCTGAACGAAAGAGAAGGGAGCATGTCAAAAGATGTGAATATTCTCTTCACACACATCTATACCGTAATTGAATTAATAATAAAAATATTTTATTAATTGAAATCCAAAATGAAATCAGAATTAATCAGAATTTGTTAGGTCATGATTTTTGTAATTCTGTCTATGCGAAACTTTTAACATTAACGAAGGGTTATTTTCTAGATCTTACCATACCAACGTGAGATCATTTCAAAACAAAAAATAAACATCACCATGCGACTCAGCATAGTTGACTACCCCAAATTTAATACAGTTCAAAGTAACAAGTGGTCAGTTAGTCGATTTCGAGGCTTTCAGTAAGATTCTTATAAATTCTAAATGGAAGAAGGTAGAAAGGTAGGTCTTGTGTAGATCAAGAGAGAAACGTCTTCGCCATCGATTGAGTAAATTGAAAATTATAGTTAATTGGAATTTTTTTTTCGAAAACTTCGAGTCAAAATTTACGGCAGAAGCTGATCAGCTTGACCAATTCATACTCAGGATAATGTAGCAGAGTTTTACTTTTCAACATTTCTCTTTCGAATGGTGAAAACTGCAGGTTTCTAGCTCCTTTCGTTTTCGAAATAATTAAAAAATATCGAGGTGCATTATATTTTGGCGTCGACAGTGGTTTAGGTTGACTTTTACATTTCAAAGTGTCTTGATTAGGATTTTTATTTATCAATACTGTCAAACTAGGGTAAATGAGCCATTAGAACTAGATCTGTCAGATGCTCAAAGAAGACAAAAGAATAGTTTTTTCGAAAACTGTGGTCCTGATTTTTTCTGAATAATTCTATGTTTAATAATTTTTAATAGTTGGTATTTCTTGTTTTTTAGACGTCGAATCAATTAAATTTTTCCATAGAGAAATTGTACGACATGCACCATTTCATTAGGTATACTCGCCTGAATTAAAACAAGAAATTCGTATTCTCATTCCACAAGGACGATTTAAAAATGTTCCTAATTCACCAACAAGAAATGATGGCTTATTATTTGACTTTTGTCCACCAAACGAAGTAGAAAATCAACTGAACGGATTAATAAATATCATCAATGGCTTGAATTATGTTCATCCAATAGTGTTAGCGGCTTATATTCATAAACAATTGATCAAGATACATCCATTTATAGATGGTAATGGTCGAATGACAAGAACAATCGTTAGCAGCTTCTTGGTTAAACATGGTTATTTGCCGCTATTAGTTACTATACATGATAAGAAATCTTATATAGAAGCAAGTGAAAAAAGTATTGTGCAAGGCGATTTACAACCTTTGATTGATTATATTTATGAACATCAAATGTTTGCATTAATTAATTTTCTTATACATGAATTTACCTGCAAGCATACAAAATATTTTCACAAAATGTGTTATTAGACAAAAAAATAATAAAATCCATTTTCCTGTTTATTCTATTTGTTTGTTCTAGGCGTAGAACGCGATTAAAACGATACTTTTATCTCATGTATTCCGATATTGCTAATAGTAAAACTGTTCTATATTGTTGTTTAACAATTGTATTGTTACTTGTAAAGATAATGTTATTTTTGTTTATTGTAATCACCAGCAACAAAAAAATTTATTTAGTAGATGTACTACAATTACAAATGTCGATAATAAAATAAATATGTCACTTATAGTTACTTTTCTTTTTGACAGTCAATCAGTATGATGAAGGATGATTGAAACTGCAACGGCCTATGTGACAGTTATGTACGTGTTTATATGGTTAATTCGACCATCTACAATTTCTCAAGAGGTCTTCAGATTATCTCACCCGATATTGAACCAGCTGTGATTTCAGAATCGGATTTTGAATCGATGTCACAGTTCAATATAATCAATATTGGCTGCTATAATATGGTAGCAAATAGTAATTGGTTTAAACAATTTAGTTTTGTTAGATGCTAATATATCGTAGATTCTTCTTGATCGAATATTTACTGGTGAAAATATTCGTAGTTTCTCTTTGGCCAATCTCAGAAAAATAGTTATGATAAGTATTAACGCGAGATCGACTGATCTAATGCATCGAACTCAGAATAGAAACCTTGGTTTTTTTCCTTGCACTTCCAAAAAGGGCTTTTTTCGTTCGCTATTATTTTGAAGCGCTAATATACATTCTTCTATTAATAAATAAACTTCTACATGTCTTTATTGTGTCACAGATAGAAGACTCCAATCTGCTATGTTCCTGAGACGCAGTTATGTCTCCGCTTAAATCTCCGCTTCACAAATAGCTATAATCATGAAATTAATAGACAATATTTGAATAAACCAGACAACTTACTGAAAACGTTTCGAGGCAAATGATTAAAACTACGTAGTCGGAATTACAAGTTACTTTTTGAGGAATTCCATCTGTTGTCATGTTAAGACTGCTCCAGAGATAACCTCACAAATCAAACCGACTACACTCATTTGACAACAAATTTTTATTAGTAGTAGAGACAGCCTTGAGCTTTCAAGTGAGTATTTAAACACTGAAATTTGCTGTTAATGCTGAAGTATCACTATCTGAAAAAAAAGAATCAATATTGGCCTTCGAGCTCCTTCGTTTGAAAGGCTGTTCAAATCTTCATTGCTGCTTTCGATCAGGGTTCATCGTACTCTATTTGTCACCAAAAATGAAATCAAAGGATTCGTGTTTAGATATGTTTTATCCAATAGCGAGAATTTTGATGACTACTGTGTTTAATAAATGTACTAATATTGATTTTTTCCAAACATGTTGTTCTCTCCTTCTATTAGAATAAACTCTACAACCATGTGGACAAATATACATGTAATATTTTTCTTTTTTTGTTCTTTTTTCTTGTATTTTGTTTTATTTCTTTCTTCAGTTACTCATGTTCGATCAACTTTCATCATCTTCCATACTTCTCAGTTGTTCTATCAACGAATATTTATATGATAAACTATAACATATATCTATAATTATACAAGATCGTTTTGTTTTAAATTACTCTCTTAACTTTTTATCAGCTATTTTATTAATTTATGTATCAAATGACTTTTTTTCGTGAATATCCCATTTCAAGTTTAACATTAACTATAATCAATTGTTTTCTTTTGGGATTATTTGCATCGATTGCTTTACAATTTCTACCGAAAATCTCAATAAAAAATATTCAAACATCAACAAATCGATTAGAATCATTATTTCATTTATTTCTTATTTCAATATCATTTTCAGCATTTATAACATTTAGTAATTTATCATTACAATATAATACTATAGGTACATATCAATTAATTAAATTACAAGTTCCACCAACTTTAATGTTTATTGAATGGATACAATTAAAATTAAGATTAAATTCTTTAATATTAACTAAAGAAAAATTTTCTCAAGATTATTCTTTATCAATTTTATTAACTTTTGGAATTATTGTATTTGGAACTTTAGTTAATACATATTCAGATCTTTATTTTCATCCATTAAGTGTTACTTATGCTTGTTTGAGTGTTATATGTAATGCATTATATCAAACTATGGTACAAAATGATAACGCATCATCAATATATGAACGTACATATTTTCTACAAAATCAAACAATAATATCAACTTTTATATTAGTTCCTTGTTGGTTATTTAGTGATTCATCATTTCAATTTAATTGGTACGTTTTATTTCGATGGAATATAATTATTTTATTAGTTTTATGTGGTTTACTTGCATTTATTGTTAATTCAAGTGTTATATGGTGTATAAAAGATGATGCTGCTATTGGATATAATATGGTTGGACAATTAAAAACTTTATTAATTATATTTGTTGGATCAGTATTATTTGGTGAATCATTAACAATAAAACAAATCATTAGTATTTTATTGACAACAATAGGTGGTTTGATTTATGTCTATATTACATATAGAACAAAAGAACGTCAAAAAAAAACATCAACAACAATTATTAGTAAATAATATTTAAATATATAATAAAAATAAAAACTCAATTGATGCGTTAGTCATAAAAGATTTTCTTTTTTTTGTGAATCGTAAGCATGCTACGCGAAAGTAATTTTCGGATAGATATTGACAAAAATTATATCGAAAAACAAAATAACATATTCTGACAGCAATATAGAATAGACGAGTTTACTGTTGATTGATATAGAAGGTTTACAAAACGATAATTTTCGAAAAATTTTATCGATTTGTCAAGATTAATATATGTTACTTGCATCAAATGAATAGAGAAAATAAAAATTATTTCTCAAGATATAAATAAAAATCATCGACTACTGGTAACTGCTATTACTCAATTTATGTTTGTTCATCAAACAACTTGTTACATTAAGTTGGTATTATTTTATAGAAAGCTCGATTTTTCATAATATATCATCTATGTATTCATGTTCGTTTCATCACTTGTGATTTATAAGATTAATATATGCTCCTTTGTTATTCTTTTAATGCATGAATAACTTCGATAATTGTTAGTAAACGTATCAAAGACTAAAAGAAAAAGCCATTGACATGTCTATTCTCATAATATATGCATGTCAGAGAATAATTCAATTTATATTTATCTATTTTGTTTTATATAGCATTTATTTGACATGTTTTTGATTTATTTTTCATGTTGAAGATTGTTTCTAGTATAAAAAACTATTAGTTTCTTAAGAAGATATGATTACATCACTTTGAATTTTCTATATATATAGAATATATTATTTATTCAAGATTTAGCATAATTCAAACAATCTTATCATAGTATACGTTTCATTCCAATGATTTTTGAATTAAACAATAGGAGATATTAATATTTATTGTATCCAATATTTGACCCGAGGAAGACAGTACTCCACCGAAGGTCGGGTTGATCCTTCTGCAGTTATTGTACTGCATAGTATGCGTCTGTGCTCCCAAAAAACAAAAAAAAGATGTTCAATCTCCTAGAAATTTAAATCGTCCCTCCAGAAGAGAAATTCTGAATAAAGCAATATCAATAGTATTGACCTATAAAAATCAATCTGATTTCTTTTAAATTTTGAATTCAAGTTATCGCTTGCATATAAACAAGAAATCTTGTTGAGTCTCTCTGATAAATGTTTGTACAAAAGAATTAAAATCTTAAAAGTTACTAAGAGATGATCGCCATATTTGTTAGAGTGTTATTTTTTTTTTGTTTAGTAAAGTTATTGGAAAAGTTACAACAATTAATACAAAAAAGATATTATAGTAATTACTTCGAAATTGAAAAAAGGGAAATATTGTACGAAATATTTAAAACATGTACACATAAAATGTAATACAAGACTTCTTTGTTTTAATATCGATCTAGATGTCTTGTTATGATAAATAAGTTTTTCAAAAATCAAAATCAGTTAAAATGACAAAATTATCAGAAACAAGACTTAAGGGGGGCCCCCCCCCTCAGAAACGAATTCTGTTATTTTTCATCCGATTTCAACCAAAATTTCAGAGAATGTTAGTCTAGGATAGGGGAGATTATGGTTAAAATATCTCTCCAAATCTCCAATAAACTAATGAGTTATAGTCAATTTATTGGTCAAAAGTACCTTGTACGCGGGCAAGGATTTCACAATAAGGACACGAGCTAACAAGCCCGGGTGGTTTTCAAGTTATAGAGTGCCCTTAGGGCTAGATCCTCACAAGGCCCGATTTTTGAATTTCACTTTTTGTGAAATAAAAAAATTAGATATTTATTTTTTAGTAGCAATTTTTTGGGCATGAATTCGTGAATTTTACGAAAAAGGGTTTTTCAAAAACAAACAAAGGGAAACTCAAAAATCGGGCCTTGTGAGGATCTAGCCCTAAGGGCACTCTATAACTTGAAAACCACCCGGGCTTGTTAGCTCGTGTCCTTATTGTGAAATCCTTGCCCGCGTACAAGGTACTTTTGACCAATAAATTGACTATAACTCATTGGTTTATTGGAGATTTGGAGAGATATTTTAACCATAATCTCCCCTATCCTAGACTAACATTCTCTGAAATTTTGGTTGAAATCGGATGAAAAATAACAGAATTCGTTTCTGAGGGGGGGGCCCCCCTTAATGAATTACCTTTGAAGTATATTTATCATGGTTTAGATATAAAAATTAATTCTGTTATTGAAAAAATTCCTAAATATAATCATGATCTAGATTGTAAAATTTTATTGTGTACTATTTTGTTTCAATCAAAATTGTTTATTCAAGAATCATTAAGTTGTTTTTGTATAAAAACTATATAAAGTAAATGTGCACGAGCATACTTCCTCAGAAGACATCGTTCACATTTGCTAAAATCTGTTACTGATAATAACTAAATTCAGTATGTATTCTTATTTTTTTCTTTAAAAAAATTTTGAATATATATTTCAATAAATATTATTTTCTATTAATTTGATTTCATTTGTTTTTCATACAAAACATAATCTATCTTTAATATATATTCATAATTGAGTAATACTTTGAATAGATGACATATTTTGTTTTTTGTTCTCGGTTCATATTCATAATTCAGTCATTCTATAGTGTTTTGTTAACAATAAAATGATTTGATTTGAATGATACAATCAAAACAAGATGTAAGTATCCTAGATTTTTCTTAATCTAATAGCAAATGGTAGCGAAAATGATATACATATGAATTGTAGACATTTCTTTTTTTGTCAAATTTTTTTGTTTTCTGAAAGAAAAATAAAACAAATTCCATCTTCGGTTATATTTTTATGATTGTATAGATTCATCAATTGTTGTTTCGAATAGAACATTGATCTTTCTCATTTCTTTTTTTGTTGTTTGCAAACTGAATGAACTATGTTCTTTAAAGAATGAATCATTCTTTTCACATGTATTATAAATTCCAATTGGTTGAAAAAGTTTTCTTTTGTTCCTTGTTTTACCATTTTTTCTTTTTTTTTTTTTTAAATCAATCAAAAGAAGAAAAAAAAACAAAACATGGAATAAAAAAACACACTATGAGAAGAAAGAAACGTTTTTTTGATTCCAAATGACGATTCAAGAACAAAGAAATTCATTCTATTTTTATTTCAAAAAAAAAACAAAATAAATATTGAGATATTATTAAATTTTATTTTAAATTATAATTTTAAAGTTTATATTTTGATTTTATTTAATAAAGTCATCAAAAAAAAACATCTTTTTTTGTTTTAGACTAAAAATCAATGTGTTATTAAACGTATTGCACAACAACTGGGTCAATACAATGAATATATACAATGATATTCTCTACAGTTAAGAAGAAAAGTACTAAAATTCATTTAGTAATAGTAAGAAAAAATGTTGTTTCCTTTAGTTTATTTGTTCAAAATGTTTTTTTCCCTTTAAAGAATTTGATTCAATTGATGAAATGTCAAGAGCTGAAATAATTCAAGTTGGTCTTATGTTTGACAGTTTATGGGAATAATTAATCAAAATAGAAAAAGTTGATATTGTTTTTTTTAGAGAGTTTTTCAATCAAAACAGTTAATCTGTGTATATAAGTAGGTTATTTTTTAAGAAGATTCAATATGTATTATTTAAACAATTTTCTTTATAAAAATTTATTTTGATGATTTTTCCAATGAGACAATCTTGTCAAATAATACATCTTATCTCATTAGGTAGGCTTTATAGAGATTAAATAAAGCCTCAAAAGATTCTTGTTTATGGATTTTTGTTTTCTTCTAGAATTATAACTATTTTAGTAAACTTCTCAACAGAACATTGTACTTCTTTTCAGGGTCATCTTCACCATTGACCTTAAAGTTCAAATTTTTGTACTAAGAAAAATTTACTTTTCACAATTAACTACTTGCATTACGAACTTTATTTGTGAAAAGTTTGAACTTGAAAGTTTCCTTTGGACGATTACGATAACCATTGGCAGAGTATTGCGGTTTTTCGCGATGGGCAGGAACCAGTGATGGTAACTCGTTGAAATGCGAATAATTCATGAATATAAGTTCTTCAAGACTTTAATCTAATCATTGAATTCATCTCTAAATCGATTTATTTTTTAGTAAAATTCATTCATAAGACAATTTTATATATTTTAATTTCAGATCTATTTTCAATGTCTTATCAAAAAGTTCAAAATTTTAAATGTCGATGTCCACTTATACAAACTGGTTCGTTCATTCTTTCTTTCTTTTTTATAATATATTTTTCATCCCTAAATCTTTAATTTTCTCATTAAAGGTATATATGGTCTTACTGAATCTCATCAAATTCCAAATATTCCATGTGATCGTTCATCAAATGATGTTTTTCTTAATCAACATCTTCAATGGTATCATAATTTTGATAGTGTATCAGCTCGAAAATTAGTTCGTGCTATATGTAATAATATCAATCAAGATGAACATTTATTTAGTATATATGAACGAGTACTTAAACAAAATATATCCGTTGAAAATTATAAATGTATGTAAATATAAATTTGAAATCTTTTCTTTAAATTTCTTTTTGTTTAAATTAAGGTAAATGTCCACTAACACAAGATGGTGTATTTGGTTTATCTGATGAACATGATATAACAAATATTCCATGTGGTAAAAAAAAAAAAAAACAAAAACAAGAAATAATTTCTTATGTTCATTTTTTCTTTTTTTTTGTAGGACGAGCTGAAAAAGAAGTATTATGTTTTCAACATTTACAATTTCATCATAATTTATCTTCACGTGCAGCAAAAAAAATTGTACTTGCTTTAGTATCATATACTCCAACAATAACTCGACTTTTTCATCATAATGATCATATAACACAATCAAAATGTGCTGTAAGAAAAGTTAAAAGTAAATGTCCACTTTTATCAAGACATATTTATGGTAAAAAATTAAACAAAGAATAAATAATATATTTTTGTTTAAATTGACGAACTTTTTTTTTTTTATTATTCTTTGTTAGGTCTAAGTGATCATCATCATGTACCAAATATACCCTGTGATCGTGCTGATCAACATATATTTTTATTTCATCATTTAACTTATTTTCATAAATTAAATGCTAAAGCAGCAACAAAATTAATACGAGCATTAATTATAAATCAAGATCCATGCGAAGCATTATTTCATTCGAATGATATTATTGTTGTATCAGATCAAACAATTCATAATCAACAATATAAAACAAAACGATCGAAAAAAATTATTCCACAACAAAAAAGTTATTCGGAAACTATATTAGATTTTTCTACACATGTATAAATTTTAAAAAAAATTAATTATAAAAACAAAAAGAAAATCTTGTTCTTTTTTTTTTTTAGTATCAAAGTCTTCTTAATGCAATTAATACTTCAATAAATAAAACTACAAATGACAGTAAGAAATAGTTCTTCTTTTTCTTTTTTTGTCAAATTTTATTTAAATTTATATTTTTATATAGATTTAGATAATAGTATGATGCCACTTGATTGTAGTAAATCGAATCAACCATCATATCAAGTAAGTTTTTTTTTTTTTTATCAGATAAGACTATTTTAACAGACAGAAAGTGCTCGAAATAGTGATCGGGAGAGAAAAAGAACGAAATCTATCGTGATCCGACTCCTTCCATAACAGACGACCTGCCACCATACCGTCCCTACCTCACCTTGCAACGACATTGTCTAATGATTTTTATTTCATTTTCTGCCAGCGAAAGGTAAAGGGTATTTCAAAATTTGGTTTCTCGGAGGAAGTCCTTCCCTAATAGAGAAATACAATGTACTTCGTTGGTTTTTGCATAACTTCAGGAAATACAGTGGCTATTAGAGTTCGCTGGATCCAAACTCGGCCCAACGGGCTCTAATAGCCAGCATAATTATTCAGCACGATTTATTTGCAAATTTTTTTCCAATACCATTGAATAAGAAAATAAAAAATTATTAGCAGATTCTCGAAGATATGGACTCTAGAAAACCAAAAATCCTAATTTTTCAGTATTTCGAAATGGTAACTATAATTTTGTGTAGACTACATATGATAGTTTTCTACAAAATGAAATGTTTTCGAGTTTTCTAGGATGTTTCTTTGCTAAAATACAGCAATTAAATGGTTTTTTAGGACTTCCGTAAGACTGATGTAAATTAAGAGAAAAAAATATCGCAAAAAACTATCATATGTAGTATAAAAAAGGATTATATTTACAGTTTCTAGCTACTTGTATTCTGTAATTTTCATCAAACAAAAAAACTACAGCAACTTTTTTTGAGTCTTAGATGAACTAGAATCTTACGATAGTCAATATTGTAAAACTTTGAAAATCATCATTTTAATTTTGAATCTACATGCACTAGAGACCTTTGTTTCTATTCTTTATAAGAAATAGGAATGACATGATTCTCGCTTCTGAATGTTCGTTCTCAAGGAATAAGAACTTAAAATCATCTTTCAGGGTTTTGAATTCAATTAGGAAAGAACTTAAGATGGCATGTTTCTTTTTTCAACAATATGATGCTAAGCACCTGCCATATGAATTTATAATTCTATGTCGGGTAAAAAATAAACTGCAACTCTAATATAAATAATTCAGCTTGTAAGACAACTTACCATATGTTCGCGTATAGCATTTCAAAGATTGTTCTTCCGAAGTGTTATGTTCTCAAAGAACGAGTACGCACTTCAAATTGTTTTCTAGCAATTTTCTTTTAAATTACGAGATGTTTATACATCATTGTCTGTCTTTTTCTGTAATACTATTACGCATTTCTGTTCTTAAATGCGGAACATGAAAGTAATATGTTTAATAAGAAATTCATAAATTTATATCTTGTTACCACACTTAAGAAGTGTTATCTTATGTGTAGAAAAAAATTATTGAAGCTTAGAATTGATTCGAATTCTTGAAATAATTTTCTCATAATGTAATATAATGAACGATGCAAAAGTCTTTGAAAAAATATCGATATGAATTTCCATGCAATAAAACAAAAAACTTTTATCTAATGAATTTATGGTAACGAGAGTATACTGTAGAGTTATCTCAAACAAGCTTTACAGCTTTCAAAAACATCTATTTGATGATGAATACTAGTCCAAGATATACAAGGTGTAAAACTAAAAATACATTATTCAATAAAGAAAACATATATTTTAAAAAATGACTATCCATTCTAGAAAAATTTTCGAAATCCAATAACTTGTTTTTTGATTCACAAATTTATATTCTAGTAGAGTAGACATAACAAGCAAAAGGAGTTTTTGGATCAATAAATGTAACCAAAATTGAAGTACAAAGAGATAATGTGATAAAGTTCGAAAAGCTCTATTCGTAGCTATGTTTGATTCAAACGTTGCAACAGATGATATCGCAAACCCACCGACTGAAAAAAATTAAGTTGCAAAGACATTTTGACCATGGCTTTATATTAGAATTCTTTATCATGATAAATCGAAAGTAAAAATATTAACCTATTTTAATCTCTAGGCTTAACCTTTCCAAACACAAAAACAGAGTTCGACTAGATCCGACATTCGAGTATTAAGAAATAAATGTCGACATTTTTTTCAAAAACTTTTGCATTGTTTATTACATTCCAGCAAATAAAATATACATTTGTCGTTATCTCATTTGGAAGTTATTCAAATACATGAATGAATTTCAACATATTTTTGTACTATTTTGAGAAAAAAAAAATTCAATTTGAAAGATAATAAGTAGCGCCTTGTACTGTACTATATGAGATAAGAAAATGAATATATTTTTCCGACTAATACTATTCATATGGTCGAGATGTATGAGAATCGTTGAAAATACTTGAATGTGACTTTTTTGAATATCCATAGAATACCTTCAGAAATACGAGAGATTTACAAAATTTGTTAAAAAGACGCTTGAAAATTATTTGTAGAAAGAATTTCATTTACATGCTATGATGTTCAATTGAAACTTAAAGTTCGATAAATCTCAATTACATAAAATATATGCATAATGTGACATCATCTGTACTGAATGACTTCCATATTGCACAATTTCACATCAATTCGCCGTAATTTTCATAGCACCTGAGATATGAATTGAACTAATATACTACATATATATATATTTATTTATTTTGATCTTAATTGTAAAGTATTATGCACGTTATAATCTCGCGTGACACATTACCACTATTTTTTCATCAAATAGAAGTTTTTTTTTTTGACGCTGATATTTTCAATAGTAGTTGATTACGATGAATAGATAAAATGATTAAATTTTTTTTTTATCCATGATAATCAAGTTTTATTTCCTAGTTGCCATCAACAAGAAACAGTAGAATTTTTCTCTCTTCGCTTTTTTTAATTGGTTTATTTCCTATTCACTGACTTTCATTCAATAGTACGTCGATTATTTCTAGATGAATTATTTAATCTCAGATTTATTTTTAATCTCGCACAACAAAAAAAAAAAACAAATCAAACAATGACTCGACATCTAAGATAAAAACGCTAATCAGTCTTATGTTCGAAAACTACATGTTATTTTTAGATGAGAAAATAAAAAATTACTTATACAACATATTTTAACTGCTTATCTAAGAAAAATCTATGATTTTAAAATTTTTTCATATAAGAATGTAGTGATACAATAAAATTACAATTCACTCATGTATTTCAATTTCTTAGCCCCGATATTCAAATCACATGGAATTTTCGGGATATACTTAGGCTGTAGTGGAGAGGCTATGGTAAAATTTTCTGTAGGCCTTCACTTGTTTTTGCAAAGAATATCTTAGATTGCAGTTCTCTTTTTTTTCAGCGGAGAAAAAGGATGGGTTATAAGTTCAATTCCTCGAAAAACTATCAAAAAATGTGGATTTATTTTCTCTGTTTCACACAAAAGAAAAATTAAACATATACAATGAATGCCCACAGAAAAATCTGAAATGCGCGATGAAAATAGCAAATATCATATATATTTTTTGATTGTATACGAATAAACGTTTTTTTTTTTGAAGGCTTTCTTCACTTCGCTATATAAGTAGTTTTATTTTCTATATTATAATTACAGAAAATTTGATGGAAAATATTCTAGTACGATGAACTGTGTGTTGCTCTTAATTACAAGTTATATTCATTATAGACTGTTTCGCACCGTTAGGAGAACTAAAACAGTAGTCATAATCTATAAATGAATCATAAAAGAGAGAAAATATTAAACAGTTTTATTTCTATGTGATTCTTTGTCACATCAAAAAATTTTTTTGTCGTATACGAGTCTTAATTTTCTACAGTAGTTGATGAAACTTATTAAAATATCACTACGTTCCATTAGAGTGCTAATATCTCAAAATTCCTTTTTTCTAGGAAAATAATGACAGAAATCATTAAAAACTTTGCCAAATAAAAAAAATCATGTTGTTTATGAAAGATAAAAATTCACAAATTATCCTTCCATGCATTCATCTTGATTTCGATTTTTCTGATGAAAATTAACTTTTCGAAGGAGAATCTTAATAAATCCATTCTCAAAAACTAATATTGTATAAAAAGTCGGTCAAAGAACTAGGACTACCAAGTGATGCTCCTCTGATTTTTTTAACTAATCAATGTTTCTTAATAAGTCTTGCTAATTTTTCGATGCCGTTCTACTGAATGAAAACACTAGCACTGTAATTTCATCCAAATGCCTGCTGTTGATAAGTGTTTTTTAAAGGAAACAAATACTGCTAAGCACTATGTCATCTTGCTGGACACCAAAGTAGCGAAAAAAATAGTTTAACAACAACACTTTTTTTTATACTGTTAAGCACCTAACTCAAATCCAGATAGTGATTTTTGCAGCCAATGGAGTTTTCTATTTGATGCAATCTAGAGCAAGATTTTATAGATAAACTATGATAGCAAGATTTTTAAAAAAAATCGAATACGGTAGTTTTCAGATCGCAGAAGACTGTCGAAGTTATTTTTTTTGATAATATTATTTAAAGAGCTTAAAATTCTGAACAAAATCAGAGGTTATTGCATTTTGTACGAAATTCCCTTCAAAATTAAAAAGCATCACACAAACTGAAAAAAGACATTTTTTTAGTGATACTTTTAAATTTTGAAAAAAAAACCATAGATCATGCTACAACTTCTCATCTTTTCAGAATTTTGTGCTCTTTAAAATAGCTCCGACACAATGTACCGAAATCTTAAAACTATCGTGTTCGGTTTTCTAGAAATCTTGCCGTCATCGTTCATCTATCAGATCTTGCTATAGATTACATTAGACACAAAAATTCATTGACTATTAAAATCACTATCTGACCGCTAAGAACCATAGAGTATACTAAATATTTATAGAAATAAGACTATGGTAGATGAAGAGAAAACTAGAGCTTCGACTCCTTATGTCAAAAATAAAAATGTCTTGTTAGTTTAAATCTAACTTCCCTCATCTGAAACTTTTAATATTTTTCTTTTATTTAGTTAAATTATCCATATTCAACAAATAATATGGCTCATGCACATGGTCTCGATTTGAATTCATTCTTAACATAAATCAATATTGTTCTTTTTTCTTTTCTTTCTTTTTTTTTATTCTTTTATGTAAATATGCACATGTATACGATTCATTTGTTTAGTATTATCATTAAAAAAAGTTCCTAGTAAAAAAAAACAAGATTTTGTTCATGTCTTATATTGATGATGATCACCAAGAAAAATAAAAATAAAAAAAAACAAAAACAAAATCAATTTATTCTTATCATGTATATACTAACACAAAAATTCTATTCACAAACATCATAAGGAATTTTTTCCTGTTCTTTTTTTTTTTAAAAAGCTACATCGATATTTGATAAATCCAGATCAGCCCATAATTTGAAATCACCAAGTGTTTGAAGTTGATTAAAAAAAGCTTCTTGTGTTTGTGGATCAGCTGTAGCAAGTGCATCAAGTAAAAGTGGATCAAATTGTTGTTGTTGTGATGATGATAATAATGAATCATCAATATTTGAATTTTCATTATTATTATTATTATTTGTTTCTAATTTTGATGTTAATAATGCATCAGACGATGTATCTGATATATCAATATGTATTGATGAATTATTTGTTAATAAACATTTTCTTAAACGTTTACGTGGTTTATATTTATAATCTGGATATTCACGTAGATGAAGCATTTTTAAACGTTCAGCTTCATCAATAAATGGACGTCGTTCATTTTCTGTTAAACGTTTCCAACGTGCACCTAAATATTTTGATATTTCAGCATTATGCATATCCGGTGCTAATTGTACAATTTTTCGACGTTCAAGTTGAGAAAAAACCATAAATGCATTCATTGGTCGTTTTATACGATTAATACGTTTTTTCGATCGTGTACATGTAGCATCAGAATATGGTGTTTTTGTTGATGGTTCAATTAATGATGAACCAAAATATGATGGTGGTTGAATATTTGAACTTGTTAATAATTCAACTAATGTTTTTGTTTTAGTAAAAACTTGTTCATTTTGATTTTCTTTATTAGTTGATGAAATCACTAAGAGCACAAAAAAAAACCTTGTTTTAAATATTACACTAATGAATAAAAGTCTCTGCTCTCGACTATTGTATGTACGTTGAAGGTTTTCATTAAGAATGTAGAACATTGACATTGCAGCGTCATTTTTGCTGATGACGAAATCACTAGGCATGATATCTCGCGTTTGAGATCTCAGTTATTACGAAGGGCTAGTTGAAATTAGAATTCTTCTCCACGCGTTGCCGTTTACGCTGAATTTTGACTTCAGGAGTTGCCTATAGACAAACTCTTAGGTCAAAATTCATGTCCAGTTTTTTTTATAAATACTGTGCGAAAGGTAAAATAATCAGTGTAAAGCACAGTGCATGGAGAAGAATTCTTCTAATCTCAACAGACCTTCTGCAATAACTGGAGTTTCATCTCAAACGTGATGTGTCACCGCGAGCGGTTCTCTAGTGAGCATCGTGCCCTTAAAAAGAGTACCTAAAAAATTTTGAACTGTTTCTTACTAAAACTGTGACTAATTTTTGATATTTTTATATGCAGTTGAAGTCTCATCTATGGCTTTTCTTCACCTAAAACATAAATTGATGTTTTCGGATCCTTAAAACTAACAAGATTATCATCTATGTTCCATTTCTCTTTACTGCAAGATTCGCTTCTCAAAAAGTTTGAATTCGTATTATTGACCTTTATAGGAGGCAGTAGACGATTTCTCTCCATAACAATGAGCGTAGTCTTTGAAACGATTAATCAACTTCAGTGAGATTGGTAATGTAGGATAGCTGGAACATAGCATTACATATTGCGGAATCGGCTCATAACAAAACTATGTGCTATCTATTAGAACTCTCTTTGTAATTAAGCAGTAGTGGCATCGCAACGTTAATGGCCTACACTTTTGATGAAGTACGCGTACACAATTTTGCCGACTACCAACATATACAATGACCGAAGACTTTCGTTCCCTATTGTATATTAATAACATACTAAAATCAGTATATGATGATGATGGTTGAATAGCATTGATAGGTGTTTCAAGAAGTTTTGTTATACTATTTTGTGTTGATACATTAGAATTTGTTGATTGTAATAGAGCTATTTGATTTAATGTATTTAAATTATTAACAAGTGTAGTAAAATTAATTGTATTTTGTCCATTAATTATTGTTGAATTTATAGGATTATTATTAGTTAATAAAAGACGATTAACAGTCATTGGTTGTTGTTGTTGTGATTCTGTTCTGATTGAACTGTTATTATTATTATTATTCATAATGAAAACCGTAGGTTTTGTATTCATTGTATCATATGATGTTTTAATAACTGGTGTTGTTGTTATTGTACGTAATTTTTGTACAGAAGCATCACCAATATGTAAAGGATTTATAAGATTTTTATTAATTGATGAAGAATTTTTCATCGCTGGTATAATTATTGTACCAGATGAACGATTTGCTACTGATGAAGTTGCTAAAATACATGAACTTGATAAATTCATGTTTGACATTTTATGAATAACTATTGCACAAACTAAAGAAGAGCATTGTTTTTATTAGTACAAAAATATTGAAATGTGGACGGCAGCGGTCATTGTATATTATGGTGACGGACGAATGGAAATGTATGTAATATTTGCGGTTGTCTTTTTTTTTGTTTCGTTCAATATATTGACCGACGTATTTCTTGAAAAATTATGTTGACTGTACGTGTTTTTTTCTCTCTTTATTCGTATATTCACATGAATGACAAATAGTGCGGACAATCGTTTTCTCTTAGTTCGGAAATGAAATGAAAGAGAAGGAAAAAAGGAAATTGCACCAACTGTCGGTCAAATAAGAAAAACACAATAAAATTGTGAGCATTATTATCAAGATATACATCTGTGAGTTGACCATCTGTCTTTGTGTTTGTTGTTCATCTTGATAAATTTCGTTTTGATGAGATAAAAATTTAGATCAAAGAAGAAAAAAATTTAGTTTTTTTTGTTGTTGTTGATTGAAATGTCGAAAAAAATTCTCGAATTGTTTAATGAAATGATTCTTTATATGTGAATCGAACGATATATTTGAATTTATACCTAAGAAAAGAAATCATCAACAGATTTTATCACTTGATAATGTTCGTTATCTGATAAGATTTACTTTAACACTAACACGATCACCTTTAGAACTATTGCTTGCTATCCACTTGGAATTCATGCGGACTGAAATTGATAATAAAAAAAAAATATATAACACGCGAAATTGTTACTATAGTAGTTTTATAGGAAAGTGTGAATACTTGATTATAATTAGCTTAAACTATATTAAATATAATTTGAATTTTTGCTATGATAAGAAAAACAATTATATATGATTGACTGATATTACCAGTGTAATGTACCCAATACGTATCTGAAAGGACGTGACCCAATTAATTGTTACGAATGCATAGAGGACTGGACAATAGAGCCCATTGGATCCGACCCGGTCCGGATAGAGTCTGGGTCAGAATTCAAAAATTCTTGGACCTGATGAGCTCTACTGGACAATAGCCCCCAAAATCGAGAAACTGTTCCACTTATAACAGAAATCCTTTATCGGACACAAAGTCAAGCAGAAACGGTTTTTATAGCGAAATACAACCCATCTCTAAACATTTTCGATTAGAAACGCATAAACTATTTCTACCCGAACAAGAAGAAATAGATTTTTTACAGCAGAAATCCTTCATCCATTTCAACCTTAATAAATAGAGCGTGAAGTAGAGATTGGTAGATAAATGTTTGTATTCTTTCGTTCTGTTTTTTCTCACTGAAATATTTCTTTATGGTAAATTAAACGTGATAAATATATGCTTATATTCTTTTTTTCCATTTCTTCTTAAACAGGAACAATATCTCCATCAATTGGTCCAATTGTCCATTGCTGAATGCATAACGTTGCAATGAATTTTACTAAAGTTCGAGAGAACTCTAGATAGCGAACAGATATTTATATGCATTTCTGTATGGTGAATCCATATAAATAATTGTTTAGTGTAACTGGTGGATGTTATCAGCATGCTCTATTAGTCTTCATTAGAATATATGTAGATGATGAGTTGTTTCCATTTAATATTGCATACTTGTAACAGTGTGATGAAACTAATTTTGAGGTCATGTCAGAAATTTCCTAAAGTTTGTAGTAAGAATATAAACAAAAACTAATCCACGTATGAAAATTTTCATTGTCAAATCAATGAATCTATGTTGATACATTGGAAAGCAGATCGACTTTCAATACACAAATAATTTTAATTATCTGATTATTGACTTTATATTAACCGTTTGATTCCGAATATTCATTAGCATGAACATTGATGAGAACGCTATTCAGAAAAATTGAAGTATGTGATTCATAACTGACATTATGTTGATTGTAAAGAACTACATGAACTATTGTTTGACAAAATAAAAATATTATTTTCTTTCATTGCCTTGTCTCTGAAAACCATGAAGTACAAAACCGATAAGTTTGGAAAAGTAAAATTTTTTTTTTGAAATCTTATTTATTTACAGACGCAAGTCATTAAGATCTAATATTAAACAGACAATCAGTGAAAGAACAATCAAAATGTGGTACACCGAGAACCGTTAGAATAGAACGGTTTACAAAAGCAGTTAGACAACTAATGAATATAAATTGATCGAGAAAACGAAATTTAGTCGCTACAAAATTCAGTGCGACCATGGATCTTCTCTTCACCTACGCCCTCAATACTTTCGTCTAATAATTTCATAATGGAAAAAAAAAAACATTTTAGCCTATAATAATTTCCGTACATCAGAAATATATTTACTCCCTATTTGGATTGTAAGCAACTTTCCTATATCGAAAAAAGTTCGAAATCAAAGAAAAGTGATTTTTCATTACAATCTTTGTTGTCCGCGTAAGATCCTTTCTTTTAAAGATAGAAATAGTATACGAAATTGGTTATATCTAGTTAATCATAAAATATTTTCAAAATAGTTTTACAATGCGAATTTAATGTTTAAGTCATAGTGACTTTCAGATATGATAGATATTTCTGGACATATAACTTTCTTATTCAGTGAACTGGCGAGATCAGTTGTATAGTTATTTTAAGGAGAGCGTTTTATTCTAGATGGATAATTCGACAAGAACAATTATTCGTATAGAATCATTTAATATACAATATAATTTAAGATTTCTAAACCACCCTTTAAATAAGATCGAAACTTGTTACTATCAATGTAAAATTTATCTGTAAATCAATTTGTATTTTATCAAAACAATAACAAAATCTATTCATCAACAATAAAATTACAACAAAACAAGATGAACATAATGAATTTTATGCTAAAATTCTCTTTGGATGAAGTTGTATATTGCATAGAATACATAATACTATTGCTCTATGCAGCTGACTTTTGCGATATGGATTCTTTAAGAATACGATCAAGATAATCTTTAACTTCAGGCCAAATTTTATCACTTTCACGTCCATGAAATTCTTTAAGAATATCTAATTGTCTAATAAAAAAATATGAAAAAATAAATATTCATATCATAGAAAAGAAAAATATCTTTATAAATTTAACCTATAAAATTCCATAATTGGATTTGTATTTTTATCATAAGCAATTAATCGATGACGAAGAACTTCACGTTTATCATCTTCACGTTGTGATAATGATTCACCTGTTTGATCATCTTTACCAGATATTTTCGGTGGACTCCATAAAAGATTATAAACTCTTCCACTTGGTAAATGAACCCATCTATCTTTTAAACGATTTATTATTTCATCAGTAGGTACATGTAATGAAATAACATGATCAATTTTCATTTGTCGATGTAACATTTTAGCTTGATTTAATGTACGTGGATAACCTTTCATAGATAGATATACATATATATATATATATATTTAAAAATTTCTACTCAGATATTCATTTTTACCATCTAATAAAAATCCTTGTTCACGATTTTTTTCAAGTTCATCAACAACAAATTTTAATATAAGTTCATCTGGTAGAAGAAGACCTTTATCAATATGTTCTTTAATTGTTCTACTTTCCTCTTATTAGAAGAAAAAGAAAAAAAAAGGAAATTAACATAAAAAAAAAAACATTTAATAAAAATTAATTACCTGTTTTTTGTTGAATATTTTGACGAAGTAAATCTCCAACAACAACATAAGGCATACTATAGGTTTTAACTATTCGACTAGCAATTGTACCTTTACCAGAACCAGGTGCACCTAATATAATTAATCGACGAGCTATTTGAGAAGCCATTTGTTTTTTTATTTAAAAAATTTGACTAGTTTGTCAATGAGAAGAAAAAAAAGTTTTCTGTACCAACTACTTTCAAAATATGAATCATCATTTGTACAGTTAGTTAGTCTTTTTTTTCTTTTAAAAAGCGACAATAAAGTCATTGTAGAGGTCGATCTGTGACAGCATTAAGTGAAATGGTCTCTTATATATTTTATCTGTTGAAATAAAGTAATAAATCGTATAACAACAGAAACGCATATCATAAATTTTTCTTTCATTTATATTCTCAATTTTTCAATGGGGTAAAGGCAGAAATTTTCAGAATATATCAAAATTGAATACCTCAGGCAAGTTTCATTCGACTCAGCACTAGAGAGCTGCGGGTTCCTTCCAGAATCGGGCCCAAAGTTTTTTTTTCCGGGTCCAGCTACACTTTTATGTGGACCATCTGCTTCCCAGATAAAAAATACAGCAACAAGACCTGAATGCACGTTGAGTTTTTTTCTGAGAGTAATGAATAAATAGCTAAAACCTTGATATTTTACTTGTTCATGTACTCGAAGAATGTCAAGTGTTGATGGAAAAAACCTCGGGTTTGAACCCGACTGGGTCCACAAAAAACATGGACCTACAGCTTCCTTCTCAGCACTTTTTTTACAATTTTATAATTGAAATATAGAACTATGACGGAAGCATGCAAAATGGACATTGAGTTTGAGTGTTGTGTAAACAACTGAAAAAGTTAATTCAACTCAAAGATAACGTGCTGTTTATATGAAAAAAGAAAAATTTTCGAAATATAAAGAAATAACCTTTAAGAAAGGAAAAGTTCCACGACGGAAACATGTTTTAAAAAATTGTCATGTTTTCCTCAATGTTTACTTCTTCAGAATAAATAAATTGGTATCATTTGTTAAAATGCATTAACGAGGAAAAAAAAACATTTTTCATTATTCTTCTAATAGTATAAAAAGTTTTTTCAACGAAAGCATGACGTACAATCATATAAGGTATTACCACTGAAATGTGGTAGATTAAAAATGATTTTCGAAAAATATTTTTGTTAGTCTGGAAAACCGATTTTTCTAAAATCCTAAGGAGATTTTTTATGATCATATTCGGACTCAGCATGATCAATAGTCTAGAATTCAGTAGCGTTTTGTAAGAAAGCGATTGATCAGCTGTAAACGTCCATTCTTTAAGTGCACCTCTTCCTTTCTCGATTCCAAAAATTCCTTCATTTTCGATTTAGATTTTTTTGTATTATCTAAAAAGACATTTAAGTGTTCTCTGTCGAACGTCATATGAACGAAAAGTTTTCATTGTTATTTAGATCTTTAAAAAAATCGGTTTTAGATAGTCGCTTTGCAAGTGCATTGATTGACAGTTATGTATAAAAAAACACGAAATATCAAAAAAATGGCATTTGACATTGTTTCCAATTTTTCTCAAAATCAACTTTTGTAGAGAAAAATTGAAGTTTTTCTCCTAGACGCTTCAACTGATTGTGCTGAAATTTTTTGTATAGCAACTAGGATCAAATCAGGGTATATATAAGGTGCGGGAAATGCAAAATTTGAGTGAATTTTTTTCTCGTTCGTTTATATATGGTTAGATAGAGCTTGAAAAGCTGGTCACGAATATATACTTTTTATTTTGATTTGACTGCTGTTTGGCTGAAAAAAACGGTAAAAAAGTCGAATGACTACAAATAAGTAGATATTCACTTTTTTACAGAGATTGTAAAATTTCATGGACATTTTTTTGTTAAACTTTTTTGAAATATTATATTCTGAATCAACGTGAAAAGCTGAGTAAGAAAATGTTATTTGATTAGATTTAAAGCTAAAAAAGTTCAGAAAATTTTGGCTGATATAATGGCTTAAAGTATATGTTTCTGATTATTCTTGTAAACCTATCTAGTTTTTTGTACCACAAGATAGAAGCAAGTATTTTATCTCATTAGAATCGTCAATTCGTGGGCTACAAAAGTACCTATTTAGTTTTTTTAGATTCTATTATATTGTTGAGAAAATTGAATTTTTTCCTCATTTGAGGCAAAATGATAAAAAATGTGCTCGTATCTAGTGATTTTTATTATTATAGTTCAGTTAACAAACGAAATGAATAGCATATTCGGAATCAGCGTCAAAAACTGCATCGAATTATATTTGTTTTATCGATCTTTTCTTTCTGTGAAAAATTGACCCCTAAGGGAGTAGGGGCAAAATTTTAGAAAAATTCACCTGAGGGGGACCACAGGCTTATTTTTCGTGGGAAACAGTTTTTATTAAAACAAATATAATTCGATGCAGTTTTTGACGCTGATTCCGAATATGCTATTTATTTCGTTTGTTAACTGAACTGTAATAATAAAAATCACTAGATACGAGCACATTTTTTATCATTTTGCCTCAAATGAGGAAAAAATTCAATTTTCTCAACAATATAATAGAATCTAAAAAAACTAAATAGGTACTTTTGTAGCCCACGAATTGACGATTCTAATGAGATAAAATACTTGCTTCTATCTTGTGGTACAAAAAACTAGATGGGTTTACAAGAATAATCAGAAACATATACTTTAAGCCATTATATCAGCCAAAATTTTCTGAACTTTTTTAGCTTTAAATCTAATCAAATAACATTTTCTTACTCAGCTTTTCACGTTGATTCAGAATATAATATTTCAAAAAAGTTTAACAAAAAAATGTCCATGAAATTTTACAATCTCTGTAAAAAAGTGAATATCTACTTATTTGTAGTCATTCGACTTTTTTACCGTTTTTTTCAGCCAAACAGCAGTCAAATCAAAATAAAAAGTATATATTCGTGACCAGCTTTTCAAGCTCTATCTAACCATATATAAACGAACGAGAAAAAAAATTCACTCAAATTTTGCATTTCCCGCACCTTACATATTTTTTTTTTCTTAAAATAATGCTCTGGTGGTTTCTGGTAGATCTTACAAAACTTGCCCTTGGAAAAAAAATACGTTTTTTGACAGCTTAGTTGCCATAAAAAAAATTCAGCCATGAAAAAATGAATTCTAGCTATTTGTGGAAGAGGAACTTCAAGTCATTTTTGACATCTGTGTCCCTTATATTTCATAGAAGGAAGCATCTGGGAATTATGAGTCTATGACAACTAGTCGAGATTTATCTATCTTGAAAGTTTCGTAATTGTTGGTAGAGTGGTTCTTAAGAAATCTGAGAAATGGGGTACCCTTAATTGAATATGTGCTCCCAAATTTTTCGACCTATAGTCGAGATACGGAGTGATGGGAGACTTTTGTTCACCACCTATATTTAGATTCATTTATTCTAATTCACTGTTGCATACAAAAAGACATTTTTTTTGATTTAATAATGATATTATTAGGATTCGTTTGTTTTTTTTTGAAAACTATTGATGTGTAAGTATCCATTGAGCAAGTTGAGCACTTGTTAAAAAATCTGTTGAATATGTACAAAAATCCCAAAATAGATCATTTTGTATAAGTTTATCAAGTTCAATAAATTCATTAATTGATATATATTGTTGATTTGAATGCATGGTTGATGATAATAATGGATCAATAGATGTATTATTTTTAATAATTGATTCTTGTATATCAAAATTATTAAATAAATCATCAAATAAATGATCATTTTTTTCATTATTTATATTTATTAATGTATTTTTATTGAAATATTCATCTGTTTTATGTTGTGTTTTATTTATTATTGTTGAATAATTTATATTTCGATTTTGTTCAAGATAACGTAATACAGCTGGATTAATAACAACACGACCACTATTTATTTCACTTGATGAACTTGTTGGACTATTTATTGTTGTTATTATATTATCATCAATATTATTAATAAAATCATTTTTTTTTTTTATTAATCTACCACTTTTATTTATAATTGTATTATTCATTGATGTTTTAATCCAATTAATATCATCATTAAGAAAATCATTTGAATAATTTATATTTATTAATGGAATTGATGTTTGTGAAGAAAGTAAAGATGATGATATAGATAAACGAGATAATGATTTATGAATTATTTTATTTTTATCTTTTTTACTACCTTTTGGTCGTGGCATTTGAATTTTTATTTGTTTTTTTTTTTTATATAATTAAAGTAAATCAAATTTGTTATGTATTTAATTTGTTGTTAAATAATCTTTAAAAGATTTTTCTAATGAAACTATAGAATATGTTTTGTTTTGTATATATATTTATATCAATGATGTATTTAAATGAATTTGTTTTAAGAAAACGAATTTTCAAAGTACGGCGCCTTATAATGACAATGAAATTGGTTTTGTTTTTCTTCATGATAAATAATAAGATGAATTATGTAAGTAAATAAATGTAAATATTGATAAAGAATATAATAGATCATAAAAAAAGAAAACAGAATGTTCCGAAAATCTGAACGAAAACAAAAAATAATATGAATTGTTTCTCAGGAATTCAACGGATTTTTCTAACAATCCGATCATATATATTCATTAAAGTTTTATTCAATATATTTCAGATAAAATATCTGCATCGAAAAAAATCAGAATTAAAATAGTGTTACATAGGAATATTACAATATTATTATTGGTCATAAATAATACCTATTATCGTTATAATGTGCTATGATGTGATTCTAAAGCATCTATAATTCATTATTGACTTTATTATAATTCTACTGATCTGTATTTGTAACTCTTCTACATAGAAATCATATTGCACTGATCAATTAAGTTTAGCAGCATAGTCAAGGGTAACTATAATTTAAATGAATAAGTTTTTATAACTAGATCAAATTCACAAGATGTTCGAGGGTAAGTATGATATTTATATAAAGAATTTTTTTTTTTATTTAGATTGAATTCAACAACATGGTCAAGGATAAGTATTAATGCAAGTGAGTGAATAATTTCCTTGCTATTCCTGACGAAGGACTGAGCAGAGAAGAAAAAAAAGGATGATGAATTAGTGGAGACTAGAAGAAATAGAGCAAGAAATTCATTGTAAAATGCATTCGAAGACTCTATAAAAGCTTAGATGAATATTATAAGATCATACAAGGATCGTACTATATGATTTTCTAAGAAATGCAGGCTTTAAGATTGTCATATGGAATCGTACAAGATCTTATACGATTTGTATACGAGATTGTACGCTCGCAGAAGATCATAATGTAAGTTCTGATATGATCTTCTAGGAACATACAAGACCTTATAGTCAGATTCCTTTATTGCCATGGTTCCAGATGCTGTATTTTCCACTAGGTTGAAGTGACCCACTATTTCATTACAATTCAATGTCGTCTAGACAATCTTGGTGAATGATATTATGGTGATATTATAAATGCTATGAAATACTTAAATGGTTAATCATTGAAATGACATTGATTTGGCTGGAAAAATAAAAGTCCAAGGTAGAATATGAGGGGTGCATGTGGATATCAGTCTTTTTTTCACACCTACTCCTACTCCTACATCGACATCCCACCCTTAACGATTCTATAACAGTTGCTTTCCGCGCCTACAGCGATACTGACACTGACACTACCATTCTCAATTGTCCGGAGAGCAACTGTCCCGAAAGCATCCGTCATGGAAGCAACATTCGTATTACCACCCTCGACAGAATCACTTGAAGACATCTGAAACATTTTCGACACTTTTTCTTTCAGCCAAATAGACACATATCAATCATATACAGTTGCTAAATGAAAAAAATGCCATCATAATTTTTTTTCTATTTTATCTCGTGACTTATGTTTGATGTCTATTAGAATGTTAGTATTATATCTCATACAATAGAGTATGTATCCTGTGAGTCAAAATTTTCTGAAGCACTTTTCGATCGTTTCCCAGTCAACCGTCGTTATTACTGATTACTGGTAATTGATAATCATTTGTTTTTTTCGAAATAATTAAAGTAATAAAGAAGTAATCAAGTAATTTATAAATTAGATAGTAGAAATACTTGTAATTATCGATTAGATTTCCGCTTCCATACTAAGATAGTATGACAACGTTAGATTTCATTTATTTTCACCACAGATTAGCCTTAATATTTATGCATTATTGATAGAAAAAATATTAAGGGAGGAATAGTGGAATTCCTCAGAATTTCCAGTGAGCTTCTAAAAGCTGATTAAGGAACGTTACCAGCGACACAACAGCTTTCCATGTTGTTATTTCCTTTTCCTGTTTGAGTGTGGTTGAAGTCAAGACACACAGTAGCATCTATCGTCATATTGTATTTATTATTTTGTTTCAGTGATAACTTGCTACTCGTTATTACTGATTCTTCTATTACTTATTGCCAAGTAGTAGTAAGTTGACACTCCTAGTTTTACTGATAGTCAAATTCGAGTGAGCTATCATTTATAAAACAAAAAGAGACAAGTCGAATTCTACAAAAAAAAAACCAGCCAACTGAATCCTCTATTAGAACCACATTTCAAAGATTTTGTCGAACTGGTACTATCGAAAATCGATCATGATCTAGAGAATTTGCAGCAATGATTGAAGAAAAATTCAATGAAATTAAGGATACTTATGAAAATGAGCAACCAGGATCATACATTCGATCTATTGTACAAGCTTGCTCATTACTACAAACAACAATACATTGAATTATGATGGAACACCTTATATCAAAGTCATACAAGATACGATTTGTTCAATCGAAGAATAATTCCATAGACCGAACAGTTGATCCTGATTCATTTTAACAAGCGTCATTAACTTCATCGATTTTTTTCTTCAGTAATTACTGTGCGATTTTTGAGCTTTTAGAACTTCTAAGAGCTGAAAAACTTTGGTTTTGTTTTTTCGGAGACCTTATCATTGAAAAACTAGCAATCATTCTCATCTTCGAAAATTTTTGTTAAAAATAAAATTCTCTATGTGAATCATTGTTTACTGCAATAAAAGAAATTGAAAATAAACTTTGTCGAGTAATGTTGAAAACCTTTATATATAGAATCAGACGTTCTAATACTATTGAAAAAAATTTTTTTAGTATTACTGTATTAATTCGAATTATATGCATCGTAGAAGTTTTTCTTGTTCTTTTCAGAAGAAAGCAAATACTTCTCTATCGACTATAAATTATTTAATGACTTTGAAGAAGTATGAGAATAGAGAAAGAATAAAATTTTATCAGATTTTAGTGTGTTTATAATTCTGTTGAATACATATAAAATATACAGAATTGTCAAAGATAAACTTATGAGTGCTACCTCGACTAAAACAAATCATCGTCATCGAAAAGCTCTATTCAACAGTTACATGCTCATATGGAGTGGGCACAATTGAAGTGACTCTTAATTCGACTATGTCTATGATTGTCTCTTTGTTTTTTTACCTAGGAAACAGCATATAGAAACACAATTGCGTCTTAATATTTAGAAAATTTTATATTCAAGTGTTAAAATCAGTTCCGAGACGATGTCGAGAAATTTTCCGATAAATAATTTTTTTTTACTTTGTCAATTAATCTTATCGGTACTACAACGCTCTTGAACTTCGTAGAGTAATTTTGTCCGAAGAGACTCACTTCATAATATTATTCAACTCTTCAAATATATGTAAACTTTGTAATTGCCATTCTACTAATCTGAATAAAAGTAAAGAAAAAAAATCATTTTTCGATATTTATTTAATATTAAAGAAGAGATTATAGACTAGACAAGAACATATCAACAATATTCACAAGATGTTTAGTATCTTTAATAACATCATCATTTAAAACTAATATATTGATTAGAATATTAATTTCATATAAAACATATTTTTTCGATATGTAGAATTTTGTAACATCATCACTAATAATCAAGTAGCATTCTATTACATTTTCTTATATGCATTTACTTATTTAAGTTTGAAAATAAAAGATTTTTATATTACGCATAAAAAGAAAAATACAATCAGAATAAAACATGACGCGCCGAGAGTAAAAAAATTACTTATCGGAAAATTTCTCGGAACTAATTTCAATGTTTCAGTATAAAATTTAGTAAATATTAAGGTATAATTGTGTTTCTACATGTTGTTTGTTAGATAAAAACAAAAAAGCAAAATACAATAAAATATATAGTTGTATTAAGAGTCACACACAAATCCTATTTGTGCTTATTTCATATGAATATGCAATTGTCAAGAAGAGTTTTTCGATCATGATGATTTATCTTAGTTGATATATCATTCACAAGTTTATTTTTGATAGCTTTATGCATTTCGGAGAATTAATAACAATAAAAAATTCTATCGGCAACTGTTTTTTTTTTTCATTTACAAAAAAAAAGAACAAAAAATATGTAAAATACATTTGACTCTTATTTTTGCGAAAAATATATTAGTCGATATTTCATGTTGTAACGAATAGAATAATATATTCTTCATTTTCATATTCGATCGGCTTCATGGAGAAAAAAGAATTAAGCTTTTTTTTTTTCTAAGAAATAATCCAATTTCTTATGTAAACGAAAAAAACTAGAGAACATTGGGTATACGAAGCAATAGAATTTAAAACACACTAAGATTCAATCAGTTTTGACCTCGCTTTCTATTTTTACGCTTCTCTGATGTGATTTATTGATTATACTTTAATTGATTTTATATCAGTCGATAGAGTAATGTTTGATCGCTTTCGGAGAGTAAAAAAATCACTTCTCGAGGAAAAATATATATATATTTCGAATTAACAGACAGAGAAATACTAAATGTTATTCTTTCAGCAGAGTTAAGACATCTGTACTCTAATTGATTTTTTTGATTGTTTATGACAATTAGAAATATTCTCTCATCAGTAATAAATATAATAACATATTAACATTGAGGAATGTCTATCGAAATACTTATCTTTTCTTCTCAATAGTAAATGTTTTCTTTATTGTTCTCATAAGAAGAAAGGTCTCAAAAAAAAACATTTGGCACTAGCTATCATTAAAGTCAATGAGTTTAATCACTGCTTAGATTTCTCATCAACATACGAATTAATAAGAAAAGAGAAATACATAATATCATTTTCTTTTTATCAAGTATTTTGTCAATGTTTATTTCATGTTTACCACGCCTTTATACTTATTCGAATGATAAATTGTCAATGCACATTTTTTTTTTTGATCTTACAAAGAAATAAATTGTATAGCCAAAGGTAATATAAAACAATATTCGACATATTATGATATGATTTTTCTATATAACACGTAATTATGTATAGGTAGTCACTTTATTTTTTTTTTACGATCAACTACGATTATAGTTATTGCGTTTACATTTGCCTGTAAACATAATATTTGTTTCTTTTTATTATTATTATTTTTTTCGTCTGATTCAAAAGTAGTCACTTTTTATTTATAACATTGAATGGTTTATTTGTTTATAAAATATTTCTATGTTGTAATATTCATCATGAATAAAAAATATGCATGTGTATGTGTGTGTTTATGTAGCTTTTCTACTGTAGCAAATTTTGTCCTTTAATACATATTTCATAGACATTTTGTCATGATTGTTTTTATTTTTTTTGATCAATTCTTAGCAATTTTGTTTTTAATTAATGTATGCTATAATGATTCTTGTTAGTAATAATTGTTTTCAGTATTTAAACAAATATAAAATAATTGATTTATTTTTTAAAAGATTTGTTCATAATTATAGACTAGGTGTTATCTTATTTAAATAAAAATCATTAATATTAGTCATAGAATATTAATAATAATGACAGTTTAGGATTGATATATTTTTCTACTTTGTTTAGGTAAATAAACTATTATGGTTTTTATCCCATCAAGGTTAAGATCTAATAAGGAAAGAATAGCTTGTCGATTATTGGTTGTTTTTAATGGATAAACAAAGTCTTCAATATGATTTATTATTATCTATTATAATGTTTTTTCTTCTATTCAATACATATATATTCAAATTGATGTTCAATTGTGTTTTATTAACAATAGTAAAACGTCAGATAGAATCATTATAAACTAATATCTTAATTGACTCTTAAAATAGACATGTAGATGTGTATCATTCATCAAGAGAATCCATTCTATTATTAGGAAACCGTTGCATCAATGTTACCAACCACGCGCATCAAGTAAACGAGAGAAAGAAGAAAGAAAATATTATTATATATTTTGGCCACATTTTAAACACTACTATCATAACATCATCGTCGATGAATCGTTTCTGTTTCCTTACATTGACTGACAAGCATTCGTCTAAGGTTGATAAGCAGTGAGGCGAAGCCAGTCGCATATGTATATGTATATGCATTTACTTGTATTTATAACGTCACACCATTAATACTATAAAACGACGAATAAAAGCGTGTCGACGATTAAGTTATTCTGAAAATTTTGTAATTCAGGTAATATGTACTAATCAAAAAATTTTTATTTTCTTTTTAAATTTTATTCAGTAAAAATTTCATGAATTTATCTCACAGTTAGAGTAAAATGAAAACTTATCAGGATCAAAAAAAAAAAATTATTAATATTTAATTTCATTCTAGTAATAAATATAATGAAATGAAAAATATAATACGATGATCATTTGGGAAGAATGAGAATACGATCATGATCTGAATAGAAATAATAACAGATGGCTGATGAATGTTAATAAAGCAGCATCACTTATAACTTCGTAAGTGAGCAAAGAATGAGACAAAGTATCAATCTTTTTCTTTTTAATTGTGACAACATGTCTTATACAATTGTTTTTACGAAATATTCTAGTGCATGAATAGTATAAAATTATTTGTAATCATTAACTTCTATTGTTTGAAATGTTAAAAAAAAAGTATATAATTGTGCATTGCTGTTCGATAATGTCTACTAGAATAAACCTTTTATCGTTTTTGTTGATGATGTTCGAACGAGTCTCAATGAAGAAAGAAGAAAAAAAAAACGGATAACGATAAAAGTTAGATTCGAATATATGTTCAAGTTTATTTTATAATCTTCTTTTTTTTTCTTCAGCAAATAAAATCATTTAATTTAAGAAACTACTATTAACAATCCTTGATAGTTCTATTATGTTTTTTACAAACAAAAAGTTTGATACATTTGTCACATGTTATCTCTTTTCTCTCGTTTGTATACGTCAAAAACCAAATCTAATATAGAATATTAACTTGTGTTGACACAATGTTTTTCTTTCCCTAGAACTCATATATAGTCGTTACTATTTTTTGCACATTGAAAGGATACTACTAACTAAATTAAGATAAGCTTCTTTATAACATACAATGAAATAAAGTTAAATATTTATAAATATTAAATTAAATATCAAGTAGAAATAATTATAAAAGAAAATTGATCATGCTTGTTCTTCTTCTTTCTTTTTTTGTTCATTAATTTATTTCTACATTAATTTTTTAAATTAGGAGATTCTTAACTATGCAAAAGTATTCGAATTTAAAACGATAGTAGATTAATAAATAAAAATATTCAATATATTTATTAGTTTTATGTTATATTTAGAATATCTTATAACATAATTATTTGATAAAAATTAGAAAATTTTGAAAAATTTTTCTAATATAATTTAATGTATGTTCATTAGTGAGGAAAAACAATTTCCTATCTCTCATCACTTTAAGTATTGCTAAAAAAAACCTATAATAAATTAATAAATATACACACTTTCTATAGGATCTAATCGTGTTAAAATAAGACCATAGATAGTTTTTATATCTTTTAATTATTTTGTTAATCTAAATTGAAGTTACAATGTAATGATGAGATAGTTCTATATTTAAGACATCATTCTTTCGATTAACATTTGTTTCATGTTAATGTTCTAATTAAAATTCTTGTATGTAATAAGATTTGACATGAGATAGAATTTCTATCAATCTCATCGTCTTCATGACAGAAAATCAGTAATTAATTTAAAAAAAAAAAAGAATATACATGATATCACTATCAAGATATATATTACATATATTCACGTATTTGACTATTATTATCTCGTGACTTTCAATTGTTAGAAAATTGCGATGTTCTATGATTGAAATTGTATCTAATCATTTTTCTTTTCTTTTGTTTTCTTTATTAATATCTTTCATATCTGTCGATTAGTTTCAATATGATTAATAGATAGAATTCAATAGAAATAATGAAGCTGCCAAACTTATTTGCTTCGTTTACACCTAAAAAACATGAAGTATTTTATAAAGTAGATTAGATATGACGTGTATATGAGAACCTTTTTTTTTTTAGAGTAAACATGACAATCCTTTCAAGCATATTCGATTGATTCAAATTGATAAATATATATTATTTTTTATACAATAAACAAGAGATGATTACTAGATGAAAATTATAGACAAAACATGATCTATAGTATCAATGTTCGAGACAATATATGTCATCCAATATTTTGTATTGTTCCCACTCTTAGAGATATGTGCATGTGTCTGAGATAAAAGAACGGCAAGGCAATCTATCCATTTTAAGCACTTGTTGTGTTGTTTCCTTGCATTCTTGTCTATCTCTGACAAAACAGTATCAATAAGGACAATATAAAGTAAAATAAACGACACATGTTTAGTACAAATAGATTTACGGCACGTATCCGTTGATTAATTGAATCGATCCTAGAACTTTTCCTCGCCTAACCCTACGACATTTTTCATTCTTTTTTTTCCTATTTATTCCCTCATCACATCTATTCTCTCTCGCTCACTTTACTATTTGCTGATGTCAATCATATAATTTATCTTCTTGTTTTTTTTTATACTTCTGCTATGTTTACTGCTCCAGTTTTTCTTCATAAGGTCGTTAAAGTATGTTCAAAACGACGATAATAATTTTATCTATGAAGCAGAACTAATCTTTTAAAAAAACATTAGTTTTTTTTCTTTCCTTTTCTTAATAAATTCAAGAAATCTTGATGTTTTTTCTTTTCTTTTTTTATATCTCGATTCATTGTACTTAAGCACACGAGAAAGAAAGAAAAAATGCGTAGAAAAATAATATTCAATAGGTAGGTTATTTAAAAGTTTACAAAATATGATCGTTATAAAAGAAAAAAAGTATTCTTAATAGTTATATGACATTCAAATGAAAAGAATATAAAATAAATAAAATACTTATGATATATGAAGATGATCAGAAGAAATCTATCATAGAAATTGGATTGGTTTCTTTTCTTTTTATTTTTGAATGTAAGTCATTCATACAATTTAACCTAAATATAATCATATGAAGCAAAAAGAAAACCATAAAACCAAATAAATTTTTTTTGGAGTAGAATAAGCATTCATCTACAATTGAAAACGAATATATTCTTTTAATGTTAATGATAGATTATTTCAATCCTAGGAATCGGAACTGACACTTTTCTAAAGAGGGTCGAGCTTCTTTCCGTTATCCATGACTTTGCTACAAAATATATGTCTAAATACTATTGAATAGTTAAGGATAATCATTTTTATTCGCATTTTACATGATTTTTCATATTTCTTTCGTAAGTCAAGTAGACTCAATAATTTTCTTTTGAGGAAGCTGAGCTATTTCCTGTCTTTACTAGTAATTATGTAGATGGTCGTAGTGAAACATGTAAATGGTTATCTACATGGGACAGAGAAGTGTTATTGAATTATTTTCTCAATATCCTCCAGAGCAACTTCTATTATCAGAGATATGTCTATTTGATGTCTACATTGCTTATATCGGTCCATATGTATATATGAGTTTAGTCAAATAACAAATTAGTTTGATAAGAAAAGAACGAAAAAGAAAGAAAAAGCCGGCCCGATTTCTTTTCCTTTTTTTTTTTATACCGATCAATATGATGACGCACAAGACACAACATATGTCTACTAAAAATAAATGTCTTTTCGTCCTTTCTAGATTTTCATATTCATAACAATGATAAAATCGATATTTCATTGATCGTCGATAATAATCATAATAAAAAAAAGATGTCACGATGACTAACGAAATTTTACTCAACGTTCATGAAATTATTCGAAAATCTAATGACTCTAGACTACTTACTACAAGAACGGATATTTATACATCATCCGTTATTAGTCAAACAGCTGAAGATCCTCATATATCACCGGTGGCATGTATTGGTTTTGCTGTAATTATATTAACTACAGTAATTGGTAATACACTTGTACTAGCTGCACTTTTCCTCGATAAAAGACTTCATACACCATCGTTTTTTCTTATCGCTAATATGGCTATTGCTGATTTATTACTTGGTGAGAAGATTTTGTTTTTAATATGAAATTCATCAACGAAAAAAATTCTTTAGGTTTAGCTGTCCTTCCATTTTCATCTGTACTCGAACTTCTTAATAATCGTTGGATTTTCGGAAAAAGTTTTTGTTCAGCATGGCTTGCACTTGATGTACTCTGTTGTACAGCATCAATAATAGGTTTAGCTGGTGTATCGATTGATCGATATATTGGTGTAACACGACCATTAAAATATAGTAGTATAATGACAATACGACGTACAATCTATTTAATAATTACTATTTGGGCTGCATCGATATTGACATCAGTTGTACCATTATTTGGTTTAACTGATCGAGGAACATTATCAAAAACAAATAATTCTACACATGTAGTTTCAGAAACATGTGAAGTTAATAAAAATACATTTTATACATTATTTTCTTCAGCAATATCATTTTATATACCAGTTATTATACTTCTTATACTTTATTCACGTATATATCAAGAAGCAAAAAAACAAGGAACAAAATTAGAAAATGAAAAACGACGTCTCTATGAAATTGATTATCAAATAGCATCCGAACATCTTCGACAACAACAAAATCAATCTAATGGACATTCATCAAAAAAACGAAATCTTTCAAATCAATCAGATGATACTAAAAATGATGTTTCAACAACACCTGTAAATTCTGAACATACTCATGATGAAGAAAGTAGTCTCGATCGTGCTTTAACATCAAACTATACAAGTCCATTAAAAAAAAATTACTCAGATCTTCAGGTATCAAAAAATAAAATAATAAATACGTCATTTTTTTTTCTAGGTCAAATAGTACTTGGAGTAGAATGCGGCGCAAATAGTGCTTGTTAAAAGAAAAAGGAAAACCCACTTCTGAGAGTACTCTAGAAGAATAAATAAGACAACAGAATGAACAAATAATTCGATTAGATGAGTAAAGATGAATTAAAAGATAAGAGAAACACAAATGAAGGAGACATATTTGATTCGAGGCAAAAAAATGTTTTCTTTACATAAGATGTTACTTGATTTTGATTTTTTTTTTTTGAGTCCGATTAATAATGGAAAATCTTAATTGTTTTAAGTTGATAATGCAAGATAGAGTTATTTTTAAGTAAATTAACAATAGAGTAGTCGTCAAAAGTTCTGCTACTAAGTAAAAAAGTACCTAATCGTGAATCATTTGATCTTATACTTTGATCATAAATAGAGTGCGAAAAACTTTAATCTCAAGTAGCAATCATCATGTGATCAACCTTTATGCGAAGGAGCAAAAAGGTCAACATAGATTTTTTTTTATTCGAACAACGACATTCCGACATTAGCAACAAATTTTACAACGTTTAACTTCTCATTCAAAAGTTTAGTGTTATCTCTATGACCGATAAGTCTTTCGTGTCCAATGGTTGTAGTTTGCCTGATTTATGAAGTTCTGTTTGGTTATTCTTAACAGAAAAAAGGATAAGAATCATCAAAAAATGAACATGTAATTCTGATTATTATCAACCGTTTGCTTTGAAATTTTTACTAATGAGTTCTCTGCACTAATAAAATATCCCCTAAAAGTTCTATGTTTACAGCCATTCGTACAACGAAGATCGTCCAAGATAAGGAAAATGTTGTTGCACTTCAGGAACACAACAAAGACATGTGAAAATTTACATGTCAATAAAAAGATGAATATTAACGCTTCAAAACAGTAGCGGACTAGAAAAGTCCATTCAAGGATAAAAACGACGTTGTTATTTTAAATCTGATGAATTGAGGTCGAACGACTTCAGGTTGATGCTTGTTATCAGACTTTATCGAGATCCGTTTGAAGTAAAGATATCGAACAAAATGATTCAAATTTAGATATTTTTTTTACCTAATACTAAGACTTTTGAAGACTACTATATAATCATTATCAGCGAACTAATTGTTTTGATTATGACAAATGACATTAAAGTTTTGTAGAATTCTATTGTTCAATATTTTAATGTCAATTCTTTCTATTCAGATTTAACTCATGTGATTCAAATCGGACAAGAACCAACGGTGGTGTAATACTTAAACGATCGGCTATCTTTTGAATGGCATTCTACTTTTTGTATACCGTCAGTAGTGCGAACAAACGTGCAGCATTGAAATATTTAGAGATATTACACAATAATACTAATAAGAGAATCGCTCCACACATCAAATCACTTTTCGACTGAGACAATGTTTATTTGATGAATATGTGAGAGTTATAAAAAATAGTCTAGAATGGTCTAATTTTTAGAGCCTTCGTTCTTGAGATATCGATGTTTTACCAGGATTTTCGTTCGTCGTAGGTCAAGTAGAAAATGTACTTTCGAGTTTCGATTTCAAACTTTGCATGAATAACGTTTTTGATGAGATTAGTTCATTCGATAGGTTTTAGCTTTCCTTTCTAAAGATATAAAAGTTACAACTTGCCCAATGAATTAATTTCATTAAGAACTTTATTTGTGAGAAGTTTAAAATCAAAACTCGATTTTCCACATGATATGAAAGGGATGGAAAACCCAGTAAAATTTCAATATCTCAAGAATGAATATCCGGAAAACCAAATCATTCTAGGCTTTTCTATAACACACTAGTACTCATCAAATAAACATCATCTAGGTCGAGAAGCAATCTGACACCTGGGGAGTTTCGTCGTAAGTCTCAAGCTGTTTAGAAATGCCGAGTGTTAGCTACGAATAAATCATTCCTATACAGAAATTTATTCTATTCAGGATGAGAACAATACCTTTCCGTCGATCGTATTCACTCTCTTAAGATTCTTGCTTATTGCATATTATATACAATATGTTTGTCTTCCTGAAATTCTAAATCATCCTTCTGAAAGAGAAAAATTAGATAAAAAATACTGATTGAAAATTCATAAGAATCTTTCTTTATATATATGTATTTAAAAAATAAATTTTAATAAATTTTAATTATTTTTTTAATTCGTAGAATAATCACGATGATGATGGGTCTCATTCTGGATCTTCATTGGGTCATCATAAAAATCGATTACTTGGTATATTTAATAAAGGTATATTTTCAACAATAAGACGAAACTCTGGTCTTCCACCTTCTCATCTTCCAAACTTCGACAATCCAATGACCCCAAATGATGAATTACTTATAATAAAACATAAATTACATAATCTTAGAGCTGAAAAAAAAGCTTTTCGTACAGTTGGTCTTATTCTTGGTGCTTTACTTATATGTTGGCTACCATTTTTTGTCACACTGCCTCTTATGTCAATACTTAAAGAATATCGAATGATTGAAGAGGACAATACTACAAATATATGGTTTAAAATTACTTTTTGGCTTGGTTATGTTAATTCAGCAGTAAGTTTTCAAAAAAAAACAACAACAACAACAAAAACAACAATATAAATATTGTTTTATTTAATTTATTATTTTCTTCTTTTTTTTTTTCTTTTTAAAAAGCTTAATCCATTTGTCTATGCTTTTTCAAATCGTGCAATACGTCGAGCATTTCGTGAAGTGATATTTCGTCGTTTTTGTTGTTGTATTTGTCGAAAAAGATTAAATCAATATAATGAACGTAAAGGTCATCGACGTCGCTGTACTGCTAGTGGTTCATTTACAACAGAAACATCACAAATAGGTTCAAGACGAAAAAGCTCATATTCAGCAGATTTAGTTCGAACAATACCAAAAATAGAATGTAATAGTGAACCTTCATCTCCTAAACCAATTCGATCTCCTAATGCTAATGGACTAGCTGTTTCATTTGCTGAATTTCTATCTGACACAAATAATGATGATGATGATAATGATAATAATATTACATCTCATAATAATGAACAATCAAATTCAGAATTTATTCCAACATCAACCAAGAAAAATTCTACTTTAACTTCAAATTCTTAAAAATAAAAGAAACAAAATAACTTTTCTTCTTGGCTCAATATACCGGTGAATCTTTGTATTTTGGTTTTCTTTAATTAATTATTTGTTCTACATAAATAAAATCTTTATTTTTTTTTTCTGGTTCCTATTGAGACCATATGTGTATGACTTCTGTCCATTACATTACATTTCAATAATTCTTTGTGTTTTTTTTTTTTCATTAATTTATTTCATGTTTTTTTTTATTGTAAAAAGAAAACAAACGTATTTTAGAAATATGATCTTTACTACATCTCATAATTTAAAAAAAGATCACAAGACAAATCACATAATGAAAATTATTTTGAACAATATAATAGCTATCTCTTTAGGAAAATACTAAGGATGTGACGAACGTAATGATGGCATCACTATAATACCATATAGAAGGCTCGAAGAAATTTTTTCTATAAATATATATACTGATAATCCAAACAGTAATTTATAATATTTCACTATTCCTCAATTGATATGATCATATTAGAATTTCGATCAAAGCTGTTCGCCTCTGATTTAGATGGACAAGGAAAACTTTTACTTTTACTTTTCAATCACTTGTAATTCATTAATTGTTATATAAGGATCATCATTAATAAGTTAATGGATATGTTCTATCTTTTTCAGATGTTATTTGGTTACAAATTCGTCTCTTCATCTTCAATATCTCAATTTTCACTAAGCCATTCATATCGTCTTTCAACTCTTATGGGGGTGGAGTAGTGCAGTGCGAACTTAAATATAGAAACAAAAGTTTTTCTTATCCATGGAAATTAGAGATACACAACTGTCACCGAAGTTCTTATACTATCATATTAACTGACGAATAGTGAAATACTATAGAGCACTGTTTGAATTCTCAATATATTTATGACGAAAATTTTCTTCAACCGTCTATAAGGTATTATAATCCGATAGGGCCGGATCATTTATTAATAGATGATGATTCTGAACGAACTCATAACTGATTTGTACATGATTCTTATTGTGCTTTAAGTATCTTTGCTTCGTTTGTATATTTAACTAACAGCAGCTAGAGTTAGCAAAAATGCATTTAGTGAAATTTCAAGTGAAGAAGTAATGTCGAAATATTTTCTAGTTATTGCAACAAACAATACTACAGTTAAGTTATTAAGATAAAAAAAAAGGTCTATATAGAGTATAGACAAGCATAAACTAAACATTTCGTATATGAAAATGAAAACAAAAAAACTCGAGTATTTTGACAAGAAAAATGAGCGTATATTTTCTTATTCATCAAAATAAACATACCATCTCTACAAAATGCTCTAAAAGTCTGCTGGGAAATAAAACTTAAATAACTTTTCAGCAGCTTAATCGATTTACATATTTCTTTCATCATTTACTTTCATAGTCATCCAAGTTTTATTCAACACATTTTAGATAAAATGACTATACCGGTAAACATTTGAATACACATCATTCTATACATGACTAAATTCAAGTCACTTACAACTATAAAAAGAAGAACTCTTTCAATGTTTTTATTAAACTAACATTACAGTAGATTGAGCATATTCTAAACATCTTACAGTAATGATAGAAGAAAAAATTGCTTAAGTTCATGTTGGTATTGACAGTGTATTAGAAATACGACTTGTTCGAATTTCGACAATAAAATATATTAATTTTTGAGTAACATTTTTTCCTATCATGAAGAATTCTCAAAGTGATGGTTCTATTCGATGAGTTCTATAGTTATGTCACTTGATGCCATTCCAATTTTTCTATAAAGATACATGAGAGACAATATTTTCTAACGATCAAGCTGAAACAACAATGAGAGTCAATAACATTGACTTAGCAAAAAAATTTCTATGCAATATCTTCTTTTAAATATTTTAAAAAGAGTAGACTTGCATGTTTTAGTTCAATGTATTCATATTGAACAGTGGATGCAAATAAAATTATTCAAAACAAAATATTAACAAAAACGTGAAATAAAATTATAGCAAACTCGTGGATAACGTTTGACTTGTTTAAAAGTTATTTATGTAGTAGAATAAATAGTGAAACAAAGAAAATCTAATTTAAGACCATCTGCTATAAACAGTATTGTTTTTCTTCCTTCAACTGAAAAAAAAAACGTTAAATATTAGTTTTATTATTTCAAAGTATCTTTATCCTTTCTATTTGCGTTTTATTTTTTTTATCTCTGCTTGTTTTTTATAATGTTTCAAATACGTAATATAATATCACGAGTAAAGAATCTAATTTAGAAAGGTAAAAGATAAAGCAAAACAAAACAAAAAGTTCGAGTAAGTTATACTAACCATTAATTTAAAAACGTAAGCACAAAAATTCAAGGTCTGGAAATTTCTATTGATCTTTTAAGGTTGTTCTACACATTTCGAAAAATTACATATAAATAATTACAGTGAATGTCAAATGATTCCCCCCGTCCCTTGGAGCTATTGTTAATACACTTCATCTATTTTCTAAATATAATATATCTAACGAATAAGTACGATATGCGCTACATATTTTGATATATCCACCTTGAAAAATACATAAGGTTTCAAGTTTAAAAGTTGTATCAGAAAAAAAAATTGATGTCTTTTTTCTACAATGTACAGTTTAAGCTATGAGAATTTCTTTTCTTTATCTATTGCCATAATAAAACAAGCCGAAGATTATATTGTCTATGGAAAGTCGGCAAAGATTCATTTCATATTTCTTTGTCATCTGTGTCAATGTGAATAACAGAAGACTGCTTTCTTTTCTTCTGATCTATGTTTATTTATTAATACTTAAATGCATTTCATAACTCTATATGTTTCGTCTGAATAAAGAATAAATTCATGAGAATACTACTCCTCAACATATGCCATCTCATATTAATGCATACTTCGATAAGCAATAACAAGTTTCTCGATATTAGTATTATTATTCTTAACGTTGTATTCATTTTGAATAGTAGAAATTAATAATGTATATCGTAAAATTTAGACATACATTGTAGAAAGACAGTTATTATGTTTTCACCTTGATTTATTATTCAAGATGAATATATCATAAGATGCAATGCATTTCATACTTTCCTGATATATATATAATATATTTCAAAAATAAATGTATTATGCCAATAAAATACACACAAAAAAAAAACAAAATGTAGAAAATCAATTGGCCTTGCGCTCTAATAGACATGCTCGTTTAGTAGAATGTAACAAAAAGAAAAATTATAAGTACATAAATTTCTTGGTTTATTCGTGATTTGTTTTTGAAATCGATATCTCTTCGGATACTTGCTGTTATGTATGCTTTCGATCTATTTTGTAGATCGAATTCTTTATTTTAGTAACACTTTCTTAAAAAGAATGACTACAAAACTATTTTTAGAATTTGATAATGAGTTACATTTACAACATTCATACTAAATATGTGATAATAGATTTCTTTCAGTCAATATAAAACAAAGAAAGACAAATGTTTGTTATGTGTGCACGCGAATCATTTCATTTTACTGTAAACGCTATTTCAAAACTAGATACTGTGGTATCACATGTAAAGCTTGTTTTTCTTTTCCTCAAGAATAAAGAAAAGGAAATATTTTTTTAAGTCGCTGTAAATCAATAAAAATCAAAGTATTTTAGAAAACATACATTAACAAGTTCATGATCATCACTCGACAAGCTTTACTCTAAAATAGTATTGCAGTTGGTAACCATTGTCTTCGACAAGTGTGATGTATTTTTCTATTTCATTTCTCCAAAATATGTTGGAAACCTTCATAATCATCGTTATCATGTGCATTAGATTTATCACATATGAAACTGATGATAGTCATTAGTCAATACAACTATCAAAGAGCGTTTGAGTAGAATATGAATGATAAAATGTTATTAATGAACCTTAATTTTTAATAAAAATCGGCAAAAATCATCTTTCTAGACGATTTCATCGCGATGACATCTCATAATTAATCATACTAATAAAATCACGACAAAATTATCAATTTTTACCATATGGGAATTTCTTCATTTTCTTTTCTACGAAACAAAAAGAAGAATAATTAGTAATAATTAAGTTAACGATATTTGAAGGAAATTTTCCCCAGTCACTTCAACTTTTTATTCTTGGAATATGTTGACAAAAAAGTATATATTTAAATAATAACCTATTTTATCTGGATAGTTGAAATTCCTTTAGATCAGAGTATTTTAATTTCTTTTAATGCGAAAATAAATGGAAAAGGAGAAGAAGAAGAAGAAAAAAAAA